GTTTGTTTCATGCTTGGGTGATGATGTGTGATATTAGATTATATCAGCAGCACTTTTATCTAAAGGAATCTATTCACATAACAGATGGCAGGCATGCAAACAGTCCAAGTCAAATAATATTCTCTTTTTTACAAAGATCCTCTCAAATTATCTCTAACTTTATTCTTAAACCATGAGTTTAAATATATAAAACATAATTCAGGGCCTTCCCTGGTGGTCTAGCGGTTAAGAATCTTCCTGCCAATGCAGGGACACAGGTTTGATCCCTGATCGGGGAGGATCCTCTACATGCCACGGGGCAGCTAAGCCCATGTGCCGCCACTACTAAGCCCTCACATGTGCCTAGATTCTGTGCCCTGCAACAAAGAGTAGCCCCTGCTCTCTACAGCTGCAGAAAGCCAGAGCAAAGCAACGACAATCCAGTGCAGCTAAAAATAAATCAATAAATAAGTCTTTAAAAAAATTAATGCTTATAAACAAACCAAAAATATAAAACATAATCCAAATATTGGCTGCAATAAGACCTGCAATTTCTATGAATCATTAGGAAAGGAAACTTTATCATTATGGGGCACATACGCTTTCAGGACATACAAAAATAGTGGGAAAATAAGGTGGAGAGAAAATAACATTGAAAGCATAAAGAATAGCAAAATACAGGAAGGTAACATGAGAACGTGGTTACTAGGCAACAGGTCCAACAAAAATCAGTCACCTGTTCAGTATAGGGCCCTCTTGGAATAAAAGGAACTACTTGGCCTACCCCACCAGGGCGCTAAACTACGTACAAGTTTGTTCATTCTTTCAATTAAATTTATTAAGTATCTGCTATTTGCCAGAACACACTGTACCTGGTTAGGAGGAAACATATCACAAAGTAATGTCATCTCTTTCAAGATGCCAATTAGCAGACTATGTCATACTCTACATACTTTCATTACCTGTTTCAGATCTGATTATGCTTTCATTTTAACCTTAATATTACTTTATGTCATATGAATCTATGAAAAATTTAAAAGCATAGCATAACTCAGAGAGAAGTTTTTAAGGATCTCTATTGACTTCAGCATTTTTGAAGGGATAAGAAAAAGTTAACTTTTCAATATCACTGCAACAACACAATGGAGAAGCATCTACGGAAGTGACAGTGGTTTTTATTTTTGAAAATGAAGCAAGTAACCATAAAATTTAAACTCTGTTATTATATTTGAAGCAATACACATTGATTATCTGGAAAATATTGGTTAACCTAGTTACACAGATCTTCCAAACGTTGATGCATTTCACTACACAAAATAAGCAAATCCCTATCAATAAAAACTAATTACTATCAATATAAGCTAATACCACTTTCAATCTTAACCAAAAAGCCTTTTAAGTATTGGAAAACAGTCAAGCTCACTTTAATTAGTAAGATGTTTCAACAACTCTTAATTTTTGTTTGAAAGCTCAAATTTTTTTATCACTGGTAACAAATACTATCAGTTGTTTTCCTGGTAGTCACTGGCTCACTTGATTTGTTTCCATGAATGTCTGCCAGGTGCCCAAATCCGAGTAACCAAACTTTCTTGGTCATTTTTTCAAGTAAAAATGGTGTTCCACAAAAAGGGCAGCTAGTTCAGCTCACAACTCTATCTGCACACCTTCCACAATTACCATGTTTTGTTAATGCAGAGAAGTGCTTTATCTCTGCTTCTCATTTTATGATTCGTGCATGTGCTGAGTCACTTCAGTCATGCCCGACTCTTTGTGACCCCATGGACTGTAGCCCACGAGGCTCCTCTGTCCATGGGATTCTCCAGGCAAGAATTCTGGAGTGGGTTGCTATGCCCTCCTCCAGGGGATCTTCCCAACCCAGGGATCAAACCTGCATCTCTTATGTTTCCAGCATTGACTGGCAGGTTCTTTAACCACTAGCACCATCTATGATACGCAATGTTAAAAAGGTGGGTATTTAAGGGTTGAAATTTTATCAAATGAATGTTTTGTATTCCTTCATCAAATATACTCAAGTGAGATTTTCACCTCTTAAACTGCAGGTTTGTGGTAATAAACAGAATAATGACAACTAGTACAGTCAGGTTCTGCTGCCTTGATTCATACAAAGGCACTAGCAACCAGCAGTTTTGGCAACCACTGCTTTTGCAGTGCAAATGTCAATTGTCAATAAAATGAAAAAGACATCGTAGTGTTTTATAAAATTAGATTTGATCTTTGTGGAACTCCTAAAAGAAGTCAGGAACCCATAACGGTCCTTGGACTTGGACTACACTCTGAGAACAATTTCAGTAAGCAATCAATAAATACTGATGATGGCTATCACAACAAAAATATTTCACATCACCCTGTCTTGAAATCCCTCCAAGATGAAAAGTAAGAGTTTTATACTTCTTAAAACTTTCAGGCATGAAAATTCTGTAATCTTCCTGACGATCAAATTGTGGTATCTGCTAAAGACACAACACTTTTCCTGTATTAACCGTCTAAACTTTTTCCCAATACAGATGTATATGCTATTTTTCTCTCATGTGGACTTACAGGATAATCAGTTATGTTTTCTTTTTCTTTCCAAAGATTTTACAGCTACAAGTACTGTGGCTCATGTAAGCAAGTTCTACTCTGCAATCAAAGACTGACCCCATTCAAATTCTGAATTATCTTGGAACAAAGGTACATATCTCAGTAGAACTAAACCAACACCAAGACAATCTATCAAGGGAAATTCTGAGACAAGCCAACACTGAAAACTTGGTACTGAGTTTAATGGCCCAGAAAGCTAGAAGAGGTGAAGTCGCTCAGTCGTGTCCGACTCTTTGCGACTCCATGGACTGCAGCCTACCAGGCTCCTCCGTCCATGGGATTTTCCAGGCAAGAGTACTGGAGGGGGTTGCCATTTCCTTCTCCAGGGGATCTTCCCAACCCAGGGATTGAACTGGGGTATCCTGCATTGTGGGCAGACGCTTTACCATCTAAGCCACCAGGGAAGTCCAAAAAAAAAAAAAAACCAAATAAAAGCTAGAGAAACACTCAAAAACTACTCCTCTTTAGGCAGTTTAAACCCTTATATATTGTTTTGTTTTCAGTTGGCTATTTATGAAGCTTAGCTGAATCCAGATGTGTCTGTTACTTGCACTATGAACCTTTTAATGTCTTGATATTAAAATACATTCACAAGTTCAAGAAAGATTTACTGAGTACCTACCGTGCACCATGCTAGATCTCAGAGATCCAGTAATGAACCTTGTCACACCCAGAGCTCTTTCCCCTCTGTGGGAGAAAGGGAAAGCAGTATACAAGTAGGCTTATAAATAATATAAGGAATTCAAAAGTGTGATCAGTGCTATGAAACAAGTAAAACTAGGTGAAGGAATGGAGACTGACCGGCTGGGAGAAGTGGGAGGATTACTTTAAATCAAAAAGTCTTCACTGAGAAGATGTCTTTGGAGCTGAGACTCGAACAATTAAATCCGCGGATCTGGAATTAGAATGTTCCGGATAGAGAGGCTAGAAAGTGCTGAGGCCCTGATCCTGAAACTGAAAGAAGGCAAGTCTGACCGAAACATGCTGACCAAAGAAGAGAATTAACACAAGAAGTCAGAGGCAGGTGCCAGGTCCTGAAGAGATATGAAGGTAAACTGATCTTACATGGTGCCAGAATGGTTCTCACAACCTGACGGAAGTCCCTTTTCTTTTTAAAAATAAAGATGATATTGAAGATACGAGGGGGAAAGACAGCAGGTTAGAATTCACAAGACGTTAAGTTCAAATTCCAGTTCTTCCCATTGCATCTTAGGCGCAAAAAAAGGAGGAGAAAAATGAATATTTATTACAATGCTAGTAACTGCCAAGCTTTGAATCCGTTATTTGATCCTATCTCATTTAATTCAACTAGGGTTAGTTATTTTCTAAGGTCTCTAAGCAGCCATTTCTAACCCTCCTAAATGGAGAGAGTAATATTTGTTGCAGTACCTTAGGAATTGTCAGAAAGGTGAACAAAAAACTTAACATGTAAAGTTCTTTGATGACTAAGCATCTAAAAGTACTATCATTAAAGATAAATATATTTCTCTTTTAAATCATAGGAGGACATTTGTCCTCCCTGTCTAGGATATTCTATTGCTGGTGTAAAAAAGAGCACTTATTGAAGATTTCTTACGACTGTCACCAAACCAAAGAGTAGGAGGGGGAATAAAACATCCAGAGAGCCAGGAACCCCAATCTGAGCTACAAATGAGGCCTGTGACCTAGATATTTTTTCAAGTTCTACCCTTCACATTTTCCTTAATTGCTTCAATTTACGTATGTACCCCCTGTAAACTTACAAGAATCAACTTGCAAAGGGAACGCCTCTCTTGTTCCCTGGCATCCTTTCAGGGACACTGAGCTGTTCCTGTCGCACACAACACCTGGGAAGCAGTTTCACGCGATCTCACGTTACTGAGCGGGAAACCAAGATGATTACGAACCTCTGAATGCTTGGAGAGGGCTGATAAGGAGGGAAAACTGCCTAATGAATTAAGCTGGCCAAGAGAGTGGTAAGAAAGGCATTTACACCCAAGGTGGAAGAACGTTGTAACTTCTTAAGAATATTTTGCAAGTGGGGGAAAAAAACACACAAAAAATATATTTTAATAAAATTTCAAGTATTCACAGATGCTTTCAATATATATTATTTCATCTACTTACCTGGTAACAAGAAAGTAAATTCCATGTGGAGTACAATTATGCAGTCTGTGAAAGTCATTAACTCTAAAGATAATTGCTAAACTGCATTTGCTACCTTATTATTACTTCTCTCTCCTCATTAAGCTTCTGATTCAAACTGTGAACTTACAAGAGCAAAGACCTTACAATTTACATTTTCACCACTGCCTATAGCATACTTCTGGGTCTAGTGTCAACACTCAAGCCATCTTACCAAATGAAAGCGCGTCTACTCCCAAACAAATCCACATGTGATGAGCTTTTTCACTCTGAAATTCACCATACTCACTACTTACCTCTGGTATACAGGCTCCTGTGAAACCAAACAAGCCATTGGCATTGTCACTTTTTTGTATTACCAATCTTGCTGTAGTATTCTCTTCTGAAAGGCGAGCTCCTCCATATACAGAAACTAGCTTAAGAATGAATAATTCTTCTCCTTCCTCTTCATTGTCATCTCTTGCAGAAATAATGAATGACTTGTTAGTTTCTCCCTGTCTGAATTCCAGATATCCAGAAACAGGATGCAAATCACTCTTGGCTGGCATAGCGTGAAGTTCATAAATTTCTTCAAGGGTCAATTTCTGCTCATAGGACCTCACATCCTGCATCAGACCTGTAAATCTGTCATTGCCATTCACTCCTGCCCCAATTCTCAACGTTCCTGGACCTGAAATTAGAAATGGGTTTAAATGCTACAATAACCACAACTGTACTGTCCTAAATGACAAGTGTGATTCAGAAAGTGAAATGATTTTATTAAAAGGTCTTATTAGGTAAGCAAAGCTTTTGCATAACTAGAACACAGTAAAGGCTACTTTCTGTCAATATTATAATGAAAAATGAATCAGGAATCACTGGGATTTAAGACATTTTGTACCAAAGATATGTTGTACATATGTATGTATGTGTATATACAAATGAATGTGTATATATTAAGACAGACATTTCTTCCAGGAAATTTAAAAATTTCCTTGCACATCTAAGAATGGAATGATTCAACTCAGTCACAATTTTAAAACTTTAGTATTACTGTTCTTTGAGAACTTCAATTCTTGGTCTATTAGAAAGTTACCTTGAGTTAAAGTTGTGAGAATTCAGGGAAAGAAATTCTTATGGACCAAATATAACTTTTTACCCAATCAATCAATGCAATAAATGTAGAAAAAGAAATATCTCTTTCTAGGAACAACAATTATATGAGTCTCATGGACTTTTTCATGATAATAACAACATGCAGTTTAACTACATTACTATGTAGCAATAATAAACCCTTTCAGCAATTCAACAATTCTTCTTTCTTTACTTATTCCCTCCAATAACTCAACTAAAATATTTATGGAAGATGAGAGTTTGGCATTGATTTGGGATTGCCTCCATGCCTTCTCTAGTGGTTCTGGACTGACTCAAACAGTGAAATGTCTACAATAGACAAAAAAATAGATGAACTTCACACACACCATTGAACAAACCTCAGACACTCAAGTGTACACACTGCTCAATCCTATTTACATAAATTTTAACAACATTAAAAACTAATCTTAGGCTCTTAGAAATGGCAATAGTAGTCAGGCAAGGTGGTGAGTCAATGACTAGCAAAGAGAAAAAGAGAGGGTTTCTGGAAAAAAAAATCTTGATGTGGGGACTGGTTATATGGAGTGTTGAAACTAATCCATTTAAAATTTTAAAAAATTCATGTATCTGTACACTTATGTGTACTTTTATATATTTTATAATAAACATATAATGCCCTGCATTTCATTCATAACCTAAATATATATATACACTTTCTCCATTTTAAGTTACAAATTACATTACCAATGTAAGTTCCCTGCAGCAAGCTACACAGAGAAAAGAAACACCAGTTCTTACTTTCCCCAGTCTTTCCCATTCTCATTCTCCCACCATGCGATCATCCAAAAAACTCAATGTCAACAAACATATGTATATATTCACAATCAAAAGATAATAATTTAATGCCACAGAACGCTGTAAGCATAGTTCTTGAGGCTGAAATCAGCAGTAAGTATATGTTTTCTTTTGCCCACATTTTTTCCTACTAGGAAAGAAAAAATACAACCAGATAGCTAATGCAGGAGGTTCAGAAGGAAAGATAATCTGTTAAGATATCATACAAGCTCTGTTCTATTTTCCTACTAAAAAAAAAAAAAAAAAAAAAACAGAATCAAATCACAAGATAAAGGGGCTGGGAGGGAATTGTGATTATAATAGAGATAAGTGATATTTGGGTAGAAACATGCACAAAAGTGTATTTCTCAAGGAAACAGCACACTGGTTCAGCTTAAAGACAACAAAGATCCTCTCTATAAAGCACACCATAGAATTCACTTTAACTCCTGTTCCTTGAGACCTCTGTAATTGCTGGATTGCTTAATATAATTTTCTTTTGACTCTTCTTTAAACTTATCTCCACCATACTCTAACTCCAGAAATACTGAGATAGCAGCAGTTTCACCAGATGCAATATTCTGTTTCACATTTCCACACCTTTGTTCTTTTCTCTACCTGGAATATCATGCCCAACTCTCCTACGACCACAAGAGGAATAAATGTTTCTACTTGATAATTTTTTTTCTTTCTTCCTACCATGTGTTGAAGTGATCTGTTTGCATACCTTTCTCCCAGAGCCTACTTCAGCTGCCTTCAAAGGCAGAGTCTCTGCCCAATTCATTTCTACAGTACCTAGCACAAAACGTATGGTCTTCATAGACACAGAGTTTTATTTAAAGAAATTATAAACCAAAACACCAAGCAGATTTTGAAATACTTTCTAGGCCTTTTTTTTTAATTGAAGGAAAATTGCTTTACAGAATTTTGTTGTTTTCTGTCAAACACCAACATGAGCCAGCCACAGATATATGTAAGTCCTCTCCCTCTAGAACCTCCCACCCATCTCCCTCCCCACCCCACCCCTCTAGGTTGATACAGAGCCCCTATTTGAGTTCCCTGAGACATACAGCAAATTCTCATTGTCTAGTTTACATACAGTAACTTAAGTTTACATGTTACTCTCTCCAAACATCTCACCCTCTCCTCCCCTCTCCCCAGAAATACCGGTGAGGCTTTTAAGAAGTCAAAAGTTTTCAAAACTCAAAATTCAGGGTCCTAATTGTGGAGATGACACTCACCATCAGTAATGGCTTCTCCTTTCAGACTCTTGATTCCCCTGGGCATTGCATTTCCATCGAGGTAGAATTCAATTATACCATCATCCAGGACAATTAGAAGATGCAGCCAGACATTTTCTTCCAAATATTTCATGACAGTGGTCTTAGCAACATACGTAGCATTGGAACCCAGAGTTTTGTAATGGAGGGAAAGTGTCACATGGGATTCATTTGTGTGAATTTTTACCCCATAGTAGATGCCTCCATTACCATCATCCTTTGCTATAACAAATCCATTCGTATTGGCATTGGGCATTACCCAAGCTGAAAATGTAAAGTTGGCAATTGAGTTGTTCCTCGAGGGATGGTATTTTGGATTAACAGTTCCAAATGCACCCTCTAGTCCACTGAAGTACAAAGCATCTGTTCCACTATGGTGACGCCTCTTGTGTGGCTGTGAGTGCACGGTGCTGGGAAAAATTCCAACCAGCAAAAAATCTATCACTGGAGGCAAACCAGCAGTGAACTCACTAGACAATATTTCCCAGCCTACTCGTACATCACCAAAGGCACCCTGCTGTCTCAGAACGGTAAAGCTGGTGATGTAAGACATAGCGTCTTCCGAGGGGACATCTTCTGCCACTTCTCTCTCGAGGCACTCTGGATCCAAGATGAAAACTCCAAAGGGATCATCATTGAATGGAATCATTACTGTCACCTGGAGGTTGGTTGCTGCCAGCTGGCCCCCAGGACATGGGGACCCACCTGTAATGAAATCAGGATGAAAAACCAGAATTGAAAATACTTTCCAGTATAAAGTGAAGGCAAAAGGAATTTGTTTACCAAATTTCTCATTAAGTACTTTACTTGTTGATCAATGAACATAGTATCACCATATAGCTTTCACCAGATTTTCAAGGGTATTCACTGTAATTTCATTAACAACCAGCTGAGTCTGAAAAGAGCGTATTAACTAGAAAGACTTAATTCTCATGCTTAAAACCAAAATCGATGCAGACATTGATTATTATTTAAATTATGGTACAAAGACCAAGCTTTTTAAGCCACTATGAATCTGTACTGTACTTCCTATCGTCTATTACTGTTTTGTTTGAGATGCCCTATTTGGTGTGGGGAAAAAAAATTTATTTGGTGTGAGTATGGAAGTAAGTTTCCATCCATAAAACTTCATTAGGTGCATTTTCTACCTAGCTCTAGTTATTTCAGCATAAAATATTAAACTTTAGTGGTAAAATAAAATAGATGGGAAAACACTGCACCTGAAATGTTTACAAGCTTTAAAATATAAAACTCATTGAACTCAGGAATTTTGTCTGGAAAAGCATGGAGAATTATTGGTTTGGCTCCTTCCCCATCCATAAAGTTAACAGTCCCTGAAGTTTCATAGAACTCTTGTCCAGGTCGCAAAGCAGAATCATTCTGAAATAGCTGCCAAGCCACAGAAACATTGCCAAAGTGTCCTCGGTGCCTCAAAATCCTATAAAACAAAGTAAAGAAAATTATTTCTTACAAAAAATGTGGAAGTAGCAAATCCAACTCTAATGAGAACTTTCTGTATTATCTCAGAAATACACTTTGTCTGTTTATCATCTTTAATATAAACCAGCCAGCCAGTTCTTACTGAGCAACCATGAAGAATCTCATGAAAAAGGACAAATGAAGTAGAACCTTAAATAATAGAGAGAAGAATGCTTAAAAATCATAGTCTTAGAAATCCAAACTAATAGATAAATTCTAAGATAAATTCAATCAAAAATATTCAGACAAGAATTGACAAAAGTTCTTCAAAAGCAAAGCCCAGGGTGAAGAGAAGAGTTCCAGAAGACCTTGGATAATTCAAGTCTCTGTGTTCTGATGAGGAACAAAAGTTGGGGTTAAGAAAGGTAAAAAGAATAATTTCTCTTACCATCTAAAGTGTCAAGAGTTTTCTTTAACAAATGAAAACAGCATAAAGAAGTTTACAATTTAATCAGACAACCAAATTTGAAATTATTCCATTCATAGGCATACTTTTCAATTTTGAAAGAATAACAATGTTTCAAATTTTTGCATATGTAAAGATTTTATTTTACTTTATTCAACTTTCAATTTGCCTTATGTAAACATGCTTACCAAAATGAATTAGTCTTTCCTTCTTCGACTGCTTTGTCTATGGGCTCCAAAGAAAAAATACCATTTGGGTCATCATTAGCTTCAATTATCACTGTAGCTATTCCATATGGATATACAACTGTATCACCTAAATTAAAAATGGAGAAGTCAAAATAACAAAAAAGTACCTAACTTACTGTTAAATCTGTATTTTTAAACTAAGAAACAGTTTGTAATAAGGCTGAAATTCCAGGAAGAATTTCCTCATCAAAGGTAATAAATAAATGAGAGAAACAGATGCCTAAACAAGTTTACTATGACTTGTCTCTGAGGACATGTTTAATTACAGAAGAACTACTTTATTGACAAACATACATGATATTTTTATAATAGGAATATCACCTCAATAGTTTAATTAGAAATTTAAAACATAGCTTTATCAAATTTCAAAATGTTGAGGTAGATTCATTTCTTTAAAAAAATTGAATGAAAGGATTACCCTATAAGATACACTACTTAGAATCACTGACTTAAGTACTTCCCTTTCAATCTCTGCCTTCATATAGCAAAGTTTGATCTGGTCATACACAGAACAAAGCAATCTTTATGATGTTGAATATGATTTCTTTCTACTCCAATTATTTCCACAGCCTGTTAACACTGTAACAGCCAATAAATTAGGTCTCTTCTCACCAATCCCTTGAGGTCCATAGCTTTTACTCACCACTGCAGCTGTCACCACTGTAAGCAAAAGTCTTCCCCATCTTTATTCACCTTTCATCACTCTTCAGGGCCCAGCTCAAGCAACAACTCTTTTGGGGAATTTTTCCTTTAATTCCCAAGTTAAGTGCATCTCTGCTGTGTTCCTACACCACTTCACACTTTGTCAATCTAACATAGTAATTATCACATTATACTAACACATACATACTGACACATACACACACTCACACACACACAATTCCCTATAAGTCCTTGGACAAATGCTTCTTAGTCAACTTCATCTCCTAGCAGATAGATGCTCAGTCACTGGTATTTATGAAAGTTAACTAAACTGATACAAATAAAACTTTGAAAATTAGATGAGGACAACACCTAAAACTAAACTTAGAAAAACAGACATGTGTGGCAAATCAGCACATTATAAGTAATTTACATAAATATACACCTGTACTTAATCTTTCTAGATAATTAGCCAATGAAAAGAGGAAGAAACAAAAGAGACAGTAAGTTATATAAAAAATCCTGACATTACAGAGTAATAGAATGACTTAAAATATATCATAAAATCTAACAAAAACAAAAACAAGTCTAATATCGGTAGGGTTCTGCTTTCAAGCACATCTATTATGCCATATGTCACAGGTGGTACAGCAAGTAATAGAAATGAAGGGAAACAGGAAGACACAAACGAGAGTCAAAGGAATAGGGAGAATGACAAACAGCACAAACAAAAATTAAGCAATCTCTATTTTTTCGCCATCTTCTTTCTGAGTATTTGCAAGTAAGAGGCATGAGGTATGCATGCACACAGAGGGTAAGAGACTGGGCATCACAGGAATCCAGCTCAAGGTTAGAGCTCACTCATGGAAAGAACACCTCCAATGGAGAAAAGCTTGGGGCTTGATGACAGAGTCTCAGTGAAGTGGGAGGACATCCACCTGGTGGAAAATCAGGAAGTGAGAACCTGGAGCTGGAAGCGAGAACCCTAGTGTAGTAAGAAAGGCCATCTCGTTTTAGCAAGAAGGTAAACAAAGCAATGGAAAGTGGTCACACATAGGGTGAACTGATTAAATAAGTAAACATATTAAAGATAACTATGGGCCAATACCACTGATGAACATAGATGCAAAAATCCTCAACAAAATTCTAGCAAACAGAATCCAACAATATATTAAAAAGATCATACATCATGACCAAGTGGGCTTTATCCCAGGGATGCAAGGATTCTTCAATATCCACAAACCAATCAGTGTCATACACAATGTTAACAAATTGAAAGCTAAAAACAATATGATTATCTCAATAATTATCTTTAATAGATGCAAAGAAAGACTTCAACAAAATTCAACACCCATTTATGATAAAAACTCTCCAGAAAGCAGGCACAGAAGGAACATACCTCAACATAATAAAAGCAATATATGATAAACCCACAGCAAATGTTATCCTCAATGGTGAAAAATTGAAAGCATTTTCCCTAAAGTCAGAAGCAAAACAAGGGTGCCCACTCTCACCACTACTATTCAACATAGTTTTGGAAGTTTTAGCCACAGCAATCAGAGAAGAAAAAGAAATAAAAGGAATCCAGATTGCAAAAGAAGAAGTAAAACTCTCACTGTTTAAAGATGACATGATCCTCTATGTAGAAAACCCTAAAGATGCTACCAGAAAATTACTAGAGCTAATCAATGAATATAGTAAAGTTGCAGGATATAAAATTAACACACAGAAATCCCTTGCATTCCTATACACTAACAATGAGAAAACAGAAATTAAGAAAACAATCCCATTCACCATTGCAATGAAAAGAATAAAATACTTAGGAATAAATTTACCTAAAGAAACAAAAGACCTATATGTAGAAAACTAAAACACTGATGAAAGAAATCAAAGAGGACACAAATAGATGGAGAAATATACCATGTTCATGGATCGGAAGAATTAATGCACTGAAAATGAGTATATGATACAAAGCAATCTATAGATTCAATGCAATCCCTATCAAGCTATTTTTCGCAGAACTAGAACAAATAATTTCACAATTTGTATGGAAACACAAAAAACTTCAAATAGCCAAAGCAATCTTGAGAAAGAAGAATGGAATTGGAGGAATCAACCTGCTTGACTTCAGGCTACACTACAAAGATACAGTCATCAAGACAGTATGGTACTGGCACAAAGACAGAAATATAGATCAATGGAACAAAAGAGAAAGCCCAGAGATAAATCCATGCACTGATGGACACCTTATCTTTGACAAAGGAGGCAAAATTATACAAAGGAGAAAAGACAATCTCTTTGACAAGTGGTACTGGGAAAACTGATCAACCACCTGTAAAAAAAAAATGAAAATAGAATACTTTCTAACACCATACAAAAAAATAAACTCAAAATAGATTAAAAATATAAATTTAAGACCAGAACCTATAAAACTCCTAGAGGAAAACATAGGCAGAACACTCTCTGACATAAATCACAGCAAGATCCTCTATGACCCACCTCCCAGAATATTGGAAATAAAAGCAAAAATAAACAAATGGGACCTAATTAAACTTAAAAACTTTTGCACAACAAAGAAAACTATAAGCAAGGTGAAAAGAAAGCCTTCAGAATGGGAGAAAATAATACCAAACAAAGCAACTGACAAAGAATGAATCTCAAAAATATACAAGCAACTCCTGCAGCTCAATACCAGAAAAATAAATGACCCTATCAAAAAATGGGCCAAAGAACTAAACAGACATTTCTCCAAAGAAGACACACAGATGCTTAACAAACACATGAAAAGATGCTCAACATCCCTCATTTTCAGAGAAATGCAAATCAAAACCACAATGAGGTACCATCTCATGCTGGTCAGAATGGCTGCTATCCAAAAGTCTACAAGCAATAAATGCTGGAGAGGGTGTGGAGAAAAGGGAACCCTCTTGCACTGTTGGAGGGAATGCAAACTAGTACAGCCACTATGGAGAACAATGTGGAGATTCCTTAAAAAACTGGAAATAGAACTGCCATATGACACAGCAATCCCACTGCTGGGCATACACACTGAAGAAACCAGAATTGAAAGAGACACGTGCACCCCAATGTTCATCGCAGCACTGTTTATAATAACCAGGACATGGAAGCAACCTAGATGTCCATCAACATATGAATGGATAAGAAAGCTGTGGTACATATGCACAATGGAATATTACTCAGCTATTACAAAGAATGCATTTGAGTCAGTTCTAATGAAGTGGGTGAAACTGGAATCTATCATACAGAGTAAAGTAAGTCAGAAAGAAAAATACCAATACAGAATATTAATGCATATATATATGGAATTCAGAAAGATGGTAACAACAACAAAATATGTGAGACAGCAAAAAAGACACAGATATAAAGAACAGACTTTTGGACTCTGTGGGAGAAGATGAGGGTGGGATGATTTGAGAGAACAGCATTGAAACATGTATATTATAATATATGAAAGATGACCAGTCCAAGTTTGATGCATGAAACAGGGCACTCAAAGCCAGTGCACTGGGACAACCCAGAGGGATGGGATAAGGAGGGAGGTGAGAGGGGGGTTCAGGATGGGGGACACATGTACACCCGTGGCTGATTCATGTCAGTGTATGGCAAAACTACCAGAATATTGTAAAGTAAGTAGCCTCCAATTATAATGAATAAATTAATTTTAAAAAATAATAATGATAAAGGGAGCTGGATTTCTCATCACCAGAGGACAGAGGGATAAATAGGAAAACAGAGAAAACTAGAACAAGCCCTCTGATGCTAGATACAATGGCCTTCAATATATATATAGCTGGGTACAGAACTACAGATGTTAAGGTGTGTGTGTATATATATATATTGAGGGGCTTTCCTGGTGGCTTAGAGGTAAAGAATCCACCTGCCAAGGCAGGAGACATGGGTTCAATCCCTGGGTCAGGAAGATCCCCCAGAGAAGGAAATGGCAACCCACTCCAGTATTCTTGCCTGGAAAATCTCTTGGACAGAAAAGAGCCTGGCAGGCTACAGTCCATGGGGTTTCAAAGACTTGAACACAACTTAGCAACTACACAACAACAAGAAATATATATGGGGACAGTCAAAAAGTTCATTCATGTTTTTCTGTAACTTTACAGAAAAACCTAAACAAACTTGGTGGCTAACCCAGTACATAAATGCATACAGACATACATGCATTCCCTATCACTATAAGAGGGCCCAGGAGGAGAATAGCCTAAGAAACAATTAGCACACCTATTACTGAGGTTCTGGTTTCTAAACAGCATTCTACACTGAAAGGAGTCAGGGCTTCTTGAAACAAATGACTGATTTCAGGGTTTTGACAGGAAAAGTATCAGATGAGTGTGGAATAGCTTGCTGTGCCAGAAAGTAAGAAAATGCTCAAAGAATAATAGGAACATGTCAAAAAGACAGGAAAGTCATTTTAACAGACCACCCCTAGCCAAATTTAGGACAATTTGACTATTAAAGTAAATAATGATAGTGAAATATAACCCACTGCATTACAAAGAAATCATAAGCCCATACTGATAAATACGTCAATGAACAAATGGAAAGTTTAATGAGTAACAGGATAGTTATGCAGTTTTAAAGTATTTCCCCCACAAAATTTGTATTAAAAACAAAGGAACAAAAAGTACAGTGATTGCCTGGCAATCACTGCCTAAACTGTGGTCAAAATAGACCTGGCAGTAAAGGGACAAAATAGAAATCTGTGCCAATGGAAGGGATGTGATGGGAACACAGAATTCTTCTACGCAATTCCTGCCAAGTATGCAAAACCTGAATCTAATAATGAGGAACATCAAACCAACCAAAATGAAGGACATTCGACAAAATAAGTGCCCTGTAATCTTCCAAACTATAAAGGTCATGTAAGTCAAGGAAAGACTGAGTATTTCAGACTGAAGAGATTAAAGATACACAGCAATTAAAAGCAATGCATGATCTGGGAAAGGATCATTTTGCTAGAAAGGACACTGATGGGTAAACTGGAGAAATCTGAATGGGGTCTGAGGCAATGATTGTATTAATCTCCTGATTTTAATGGTTAATGTAGGAAAATGTCTTGTGTATATGAAAAAACACACTTGCATAATTAGGGGTGATAGAGTAACATGTCTTCAACTTACTAGAAAAGATAAAGGAAAAAATAGCTCTGTGTACTCTTAAAAGAATAAAACAATTACCAAAAGAAGCTATAGCCCCTCTAATTTACTAAAGATAGGGGTAAAACATTATGCTTCATTTATAGTATAGAGAAGGAAAAGTCTATTTTCCCCCTTGCAAACGGTCACACACCGTGACTACAGCTACAGAGAATTATCAGTCAGTTGGGCTCAGTCACCTGCAGAATACAGCTTCCCAACCACTATGCCCACTGTCCTGGTAGGAGGGAAAAGTCTACAGAATAATAATGCCCTAAGCCCTTGAGTGACTAGAAAAGACTTCGGGTAGTTTCAGCTAGAAGATTTCTATTCCTCATATAATAACATAATTTCCTGTGTGTGCTATTTGTGAAAAAAGATTAAAAATAATGACATAGGGTATATGGGTACACAAAGTTTCAACACATGTATTCTTTTACCCCTTCCCTTAAGAAATCAATGAAACAATTTTGCTCCCCTGAACATTCACAGGTGACAGTTAAGTACTTAATGTCATCTTGTAAAAGAACTGAAACAACAGATCTGCCATAAATATTATTTATTTACCTGTTGAGTTAAAGAGGATTATATAAAAGGGCTCATCTGTTTCTGGGATATCATCTTCCGTAATGAATACAGATATGTTCTGCTCTCTACTTCCAACTGCAAAAACAAGCATTTCTCCTTTTTCAACAGGAACAAAGTCTCCCTCTCTGGCGGTAGCCTTCCCATCCATGGTAGCATATTGGACGGTGCAGGGAACATCAACAGATCCATTTCTGAGAACTTTAAAGTCAGCAGTCTCACCCTCCCGAACCCTCACTACATGAGGCTCTAAAATATTCACAAAGAAAAGAAGGAACATGTGAGCTTTTCTGATTCCATCTACACATTATCAGATCGCACATGTTTCTCCCTGCCCCGCCACGAGAAATGCCCACCACTGAGTCTTTGCTGAAAGAGAGCTATGATTCCAATGCCTGCATGAGGTCTCCCCTGATTACTTTGAGTCAAGTGGCCTTCCTCTTGCCTGATTCCTACAAAATCCATTGTCTGCAACTCCCAATTTGTCAGTAAACTGTATACTATCTGGAATCCTCTGCTTACTGTTTCAAAGACTTCATTTCCAAATTTGGACCATAAATTTTTTTTTTTAAATAGGCCAGATACCTTCCACATCTTCTACAGGGTTAATAGAAGACTGAACACAGGACTAATTCATTAAGTACATGTTAACTGAAGGTTAAAACATAAATCAATAGAATTCAAGAGGTTTAAGAGTTTTACAGTTGCAAACTGAACAGCCTGCAAAAATGGTTTAAGGAAGAATAAGATACCAATAAATTAGACACCAAATAAAACTAAAAGATGTCTCCAGTGGCAAAGACAGTTGTAAAGAAAGCATTCAAGTGGGAAAAATGGGGAAACCTTAATTTACATGTTAATTTATATGTCCATGAAATTAACAGTAATTATAGTAAGTAACCATTCATTAAGTACAATACACAAACCCTGAACTGTCTTCAATACTTCCCTGTGTACTGGAAGAGGTTACATGGAGGACTGTTCATTTTTGCACAAAGGAAAGAAAATAACTTGAAATTTAAAAGTAAGAAGAAAACAAAGCTAACAAAATAGTACTTAATTTTCCCTTCAGAATCCTTAAAAATATCTGTTAAAATGTCAAAGAGATTGAATAATCATCAAACTATGAAATCCTATTTAAACATGTATCAATCACGCTTTATTGAAAATGTTCACTTAAAACAATTATTGAAAAAAGCATCCTTACACTATTCAAGAAAGGTGTGAACTCACTCAAATAAGAAAGCAATACCACCTGCAAAATAAATGGGGTCATCATTTCTTCTAATCCTCAGAGTAGCAGTAGTTTTATTTCCTATTTTAGCTCCTCCAGTGGCATTAAGTAGGATAATGGTAAATTCCTCCATTTCCTCTGGAATCTTTTGGGAAAATGTTACACATGCTTTTTAGTCAGGTGATCTGTACAAATAATTTCACTACATATTCCTAAACTGTTTCATCTTTTTTAAAAAAACCTTTATTAATAACAATATTAACATTCATTTCCACTTCTGAGCAGAACCACCCTACATTATTCAAGTAAGAATCAGAACCCTTCAAAACTTTGACATGCATTAATCCAAACAGCCACTTTATTTTGACTCACTATAAAATGTAATGGAAATAGAGGTATTTTTGCTTTACACCAAGTTAAAAAGAGAAATACTACATCGCTTAAGTTTTTTTCTGTAAGAAAATGGGCTATTATGTTGTTTTTAAGGAGAAACAGTGGAGCAGAAAAATAACCTCTGGACACATTTAGAACAGAAATCATAACAGTAACAAAGGCTCAGTTAGCTTTCAAAGGCCCTTTATAAACTTTGTTTAAGTTCCATGGAAATGCATCACAAAGACCTCATTCCACTGTGCTAACAAGGTGAGACTCCCCACATCTCTGAGCCTATATGCCTCCCCATGTGGACTCTGCTTCACTTTCTCCTCATCCGTGTGATTTGGTCTTCTCCGCATCCTAGAACGGAAGAGTGTTGGAATTTTGTCTCTGGAGGCAGGAGTGTGAGGGAAAGGGGACAGGCTTCCATACCTATTTGAAGTGCAGTTCCCCTCAGAAAGGTCCATTCCATTGTTACTAAGTTTTTTCTCTGCGTTACGCTGAGTCCACCATCCCCCTGGACCAATGTCCTGAATCTGCACATGCACCCTAGTGTACTCATAGATAGCGCTCTCATTCTGAAAGGGCCTTACGTCCAGACCAAGCGCTTGACAACCTCTCTCACAGGCGTGAATCTCTGATATTTGACACCTAGGCAGTGTCACCAGAGACTATCAGTAAGTTCTAAAAGTCAAAAATGCCTGTAGGGAAACCAAAAATAACATTTCTACTTTGGCTTATGTGTGTGTGTGTGTGTGCGTGCTCACTCAGTCATGTCCGACTCTTTGTGACCTCACAGACTATCGCCCACCAGCCTCCTCTGTCCATGGGATTTTGCCAGGAAGAACACAGGAGTGGGTTGTCATTTCCTACTCCAGGGGATCTTCCCGATCCAGGGATCAAACTGGCATCTGTGGCATCTCCTGCATTGGTAGGCAGATTCTTTACCACTGAGTCACCTGGGAATCACTTTGGTTTTCAGTCAAGACATTATACCTGAGTTCTTTATCACATACTCTCATGGCAAAGTAAATGACCAGATGTTTAATATTCAATAAAAAATAACTATTAAACCACAAAAAGAGTTAAATATGTAACATTTACCTCATCTGGAAGGGAGTAAATGGTGATGTTTTTTAAAAATTCCTGGTCTCCAAAGAAAATAGTCGCTCGGACAGGAAACACATCTTGTGTAAAATCTGGACTAACAACCCATGATACATTAACATCACCAAAGTTGCCTCGATTTCTTATTACACCATAAACAGCTGTGAAATACAAATGGGTATAACATATGTGATCATATATTAAACCATTTTAAATGATGAGTAAAGAAATTGCTCAAAGTAAAAATAAGTCCCTATTTTTTAATAAAAATCAATTATTTGCTTAGCCCAGCCTCAAGTTACATATAAATTAACGCAGTCATTCCTCTATAGCCATACAATTGATAGAATAAATGGACTCAATCTTTGCTATCACAGTCTGAGCTCTTAAAAGTCACTTAGCGCAGGGAACATAATGGTGCCTAGGTACATCTATCACAAAGTCCTATAAGGGTATTTGCTAAAGACAGTCAGAGAAAGCTGCACACTCAAAAGCGATTTTCTTATCCAGACAAACATGGCTCTAAAGATAAACTATGTCTCATTTCGTGCCACTGAAAGAGTTCCCAGATGTAACTCTCAGTTTCAGAGCTTTTTCTATTTGACTCAACTCATTCTTTTGAATGTTTGAGTTCTACTGCGTATGGTTAATGGAAATCAAAATATAACTGTAATGTATGTGTTAGCCACTCAATCATATCTGACTCTTCACGACCCCATGGAATGTAGCCCACCAGGCTCCTCTGTCCATGGAATTCTCCAGGCAAGAATAATGGAGTGGGTAGCCATTCCCTTCTCCAATGGATCTTCCCAACCCAGGGATTGAATCCAGGTCTCCTGCACTGCAGGCAGATTCTTTACCATCTGAGCCACCATCATTATAATACTACATAAGAAATAAAAATTACAGTCTTAAATATGATTTTTAAAACACTAATTTCTGCACCATGTGTAATTTCTAAGCAGCTGGACAACTAAAAATAACTATCTACTAAAGAAATAAGTTTTAAAATGCCAAATTTTTTCTTCAGTAAACAGTAATGGAATATAAGAAGTAGAATACATTACCACTATAGGTATCGTCTCCTTTACTTTCATTTATCGTAACAATTAGATCATCAGAAACAAATTCTATAATCCCATGAGGATCATCATTTTTTAGAATCGTTATGTTGACAACTGTAGCACTTCCCAACTTGCTTTCCCGTTCACCATGGCTGGTGAGGACCACCCAATAATGTTCATCCAACTGAAGTGAGCATGTCAAATCAGGAGAAATAAAAAGTTGAAATTTTCAGAGTAAATAAAAACATATATTCAAGAATATTAATACCATCAATTTTTCACAACAATGTACTCACTGAAAAAAACAAAGCTGATTTTTTTAAAGTTTGAACATTTTTCCATCAATTAAGAGAGATAGGTATAAATATACATTATTCAAAAATGGAAAAGACAAACCATGTTGCTACATTAAAATATGGGGGGGGGGGTGGATCTTATCACTGATGTTCCAGTCATCCAAACTAATAAAATTAATTTAAAAGCTATATATGGAATAATGTATATACATAATGGAACAATATCTGGTTCTCTTAATATATTTAAAAAGTAAATTTATTTTCTTTAAAAGAGTAATTTTACAGAAAAATTTCTTCAATTTCTTCAGTTTGAAACAACATCCTGAAAGTTCAGCCAATACAGATTATATAAAACAATGTTTAACATATATAAAGCTAAAAGGAGACGAAAACTAGTAAGTTTCAGATTGTCTGCTATCATTTTATGTAAGAATGGACAATTCAAATTGGTAAGAGTTATACTTTGCTTTTGAAGCTTGTTTTTTAGTTTCCAAACATAAGTACTTCTCTTTATCTTGTCTTGCCTGCCTCCTTTGCTGTATTTCCTTGCCAACACTCAAACTATTTATATTCATAACATACTACATACTACCAACTTTCCACAAAGGCACAAGAGAAAAGTAAAACCCCATACCTCTGGTATCCCATCCAATCTTGTCAGCAAGGTGATTACGATCTCCCTTTCCCCAGGTTTAAATTCCAGTACTCCTGTGTTGCCATAGAATTCACTGCTATCCCTTGGCTCTATTCGATAGTGAAGAAACTGCTTACCAAGTGCTCCCCTATATCGGATGATGTGGAGCTCTACAGATTCTCCTTCCTTAAAAAAAAAAATTCATGAAATTCAAAAAGATAAATGCACCCCAATGTTCATGGAAGCATTATTTATAATTGCTAAGATACAAAAGCAACAAAAGTGTCCATCAACAGATGAATGGTAAAGATGTGATGTGTTTACACACACACACACACACACACACATGTATGTGGGTGAATGGAATACTACTCAGTCATCAAAAAGAACTAGACTTTGCCATTTGCCAAATGGCTTCCCTGGTGGCTCAGATGGTAAAGAATCTGCCTGCAATGCAGGAGACCCGGGTTCAATCCCTGGGTTGGGAAGATCCCCTGGAGAAGGGAATGGCAACCCACTCCAGTATTCTTGCCTGGAGAATCCCATGGACAGAGGTGTCTGGTGGACTACAGTCCATGGGGTCACAAAGAGTGGGACACAACTGAGCAACTAACACACAACATGAATGGGCTTAGAGGGCATTATGCTAAGTGAAATAAGTCAGACAGAAAAAGACAAATAATGTATGATATCACTTAAATGTGGAATCTAAAAATACAACAAACTAGTGAATATAACAAAAAAGAAGCAGGCTCATATACAGAGAACTAGCAGTTACCAGTGGACCGAGGGCAAGAGAGGGGTTGGGGACAGGAGGTAACAAACTTCTGGGTGTAAGAGAGGCTCAAGGACAAACTATACAGCATGGGGAATATAGCCAATATTTTGCAATAACTGTAAATGGAAAGTACTTTTTCAAAACTGTATTAAAAAAAATAATCCCACACTCTGAATTCAGACTGAACAGGTTTGCATCACAACTTTAAGCAATTTGTGTAAGGCTCAGCTAGAAGTGCCAATGTGTCTCTTTCACACTTAAATATAGCACAGACTGCTTAGAACAGAGACTAGAACATAAAAGATCCTAATTATATGTTATCTATATGATTATACCAATAATAATGATGATGACTATGTTCTTGCCAGTAAAGTACCATAGAAAGGATAGGGAAAAAAGTCCACAAAAGTTCAAATCCTTTGAAATTGCTCTTCTGAGGTTGTGAGTACAGAAGAGATTAAAGTTTCTTTCATACTTACTTTTATAATATAGGGTCCTCTGGAGGCAGGAGAAAATTCAAAAACTCCCCCAGGATCATCATTTTCCAAAATAATTAGGTCACGGCTCGTATATCCAGATTTCAGCACTTGGTTTTCCACATTGACCCTGGAGAAAACAGTGGCGGAAAAGGTATCCACTACCTATAGACTTACTTCTGTTTGAAGTCTTACTTACAATATTTATAACACTTTCATATAATGAATATGAAGGTTATTAGAAGTTAAAACTTAAACTGAATTTAACTATATTAAAATCACGTAAGATCAAAACAGTTTCACTGATAACACTTATGGGAGAACTTCTCTTTCTGAATTCATTATATCTTTTATATTTGATTGAAAACAAACACTGCATATGTATGCTAAAAATACAGTAATTGAAAGTTTAAACATATTTTATTAGTATCAAATTTATAGACTTGTTTCCAGTTTTAGAGAAATTTAACTTGTAACACATAGTTTTAAAGTAATTTAAATAAAATTGCTTAAATTTTACATACACTTGAATTTGTTTTTTAAAAATTCATTACATAAGATTATACTAATTGAATACAAGTTGGATACCTGCTTGGACTAAAGCAGGACACACTGACCAAAAATAAAGTTGTGATTAGATTTTAGAAATATTTCATGACCTTCAGTATGATTCTGTTCACCCTGCCTTTAACGTTATGTTTTTTAATTATAAAAGAAATATTATAAATAATAAATATAAAAATATTTCTTTTATAATAAAATAAAAAGTAGGACATCATAAAAAATGGAATGGAATGGAACTGAAATATATGATATGCTATAGCAATTCCTATACAAATCTCAAAAGAACATATTAAAACAAGATGCTTTTTTTATTTCTGGTTTTTATGTTCAGCCTATAATTAAAATGATCAAAGGGACTAGAACTGTAAAGCTCTGAGGGTTTAAAAGCCAGCATACTCTTTGAGAATTCTCAATCCCACAAGCTTTTCTAAACCTTTCCAAATGTCACGTTCTATCGAATCAAAAAATACCCTGATCAAACCTCAAAATTACAATGCAGCCACAATTAATATGTAGAAAGAACAGCACACTTCCTGTGTAACACAGAATATGAATTAACATCCTTCCCCAGTTTTTGGAAATATGCCAACCAATACCTAGCATACTAGTGGCCACAAAAGATATAATCAAAATAATAAGAGGATGAGATGGATGGCTGGATGGCATCACCAACTCGATGGACATGAGTTTGAGTAAACTCTGGGAGTTGGTGATGGACAGGGAGGCCTGGTGTGCTGTGATTCATGGGGTCGCAAACAGTCGGACACGACTGAGTGACTGAACTGAACTGATGTCCATATAAGCTGAGACAAAAACAGGATCGGAATATGAATATAAAAATCCATTCTGAGCATTAAACAAATGAACTTATTTTTAAGCTTTCTTAAAAAATGCTACCCTTTTGGGAATAAGGCAAAGCTTTGAAAAGTTGTTTTACACAACAACTAAGAGTATGCAGGCAAGAAAATGCTTAAACGCACTCAAAAATCAATGCAAGAAATGAGCGCTCTGCTTCTGAATTCTTTGTGAAACAACCACAAGATTCATAAAAGATTGTTAAGTAAGAACTGCACCAACAAAGGACACTAATTGTTTTCTTGGTTATACATACACTATCAGGAGAGCTAAAATTTTTAAGTTCTTCAAAATATGTAATTACATAAATTCTCAAAATTTTTATCAGCTATCTTAATAGTATTCATAATTTAAAATGCTTAATACCAAAAAAAAAAAACTTCAGATAAGCTTATCATTAGAAGATAAACAGACACACAACGCATGCACAGGCAGGTGGACAAGCCAGCTTTCCCAGGGCTGGCAGTCAGGCAGAACCGAAGCCTTGTCTAAAACACTGGCATGCAAGAGTAAAATGTTGAAGCACCCAAAACCAGACATTCTTCAGTACACTTACCCAAAATACACGACAAACCTTTCGGTTTCTACCCTGTCAACACAGAAGAAAGTATGTGTGGGGTGGGGGAGAGGGGGAAGGGAGACGGAGGCAGTATTTGCCAAAACTTCACTAATGCTGCTAGAAATGGGAATGGCAGGGTAAAAAATAAAGCTAAAGAAAGCCTTTCTTTTCTGCCCCCGCCCCTACCCCCTCGCACGAGCTGGTCATATTCACTTGAAGGGAACTCCGCACACTGGGTTCTTTGCTATTCACAAATGCTAGCAAGAGGTTCGGCAGTTCCCACTTAGGGAAGATGACCCCACGGCCAGCCAGCATGTCAAGCCCCATTGAAGACATTCCTTTCCAGGCCCGCTCCAAGGCGCTAGAGCCTGCCAAGCACTGTGCGTGCTCACAAAACCCCAGCAGCTGAGCAAATTTCATTCAGCCCGACTTATAATTACTCAGTAGTTTTAATTAGGTTTCAAAAAAAAAATAATAAAAAACCCACATCCTCAGATCTGAAGCCAGTTATTCTTGGAAAGAATTAGAACTCTTATCAGCAGAAAAATCTATACCTTTCATCATTTGCACAGGAATATACTTAAGAAAGCAAAAGATATCACTGCATCTTCTAATGATGACAAATATTACTTAAATATAACTTTCTATCAGGAAATATAAACATTCTTCCAAATTTCCAATGCGCTGCATTTTTAAACAGCCTTGAGAAACATGTCAGAATGTATACACCCTAGTGTTTCACTTTTCAAGTCAAATAAATAATACCATAAATAAGAAGCTATATATTCTACATATGTTGCAAATTTTCCTGAAATTAACTGGCATAATAAAGTTGTTTCTGATCTGAAGAGAACTTAAAAATATTTTTAATTAGTATGGTATTAAAAGCATCATAAATCATTCAGTACTAGGGCAACTTTTATCTCTATTTAACAGAAATAAACAAAATTTTCATCTGAATTTTACATTAAAAGAAAATCACAAATGATATCAGAATAAAGTGCTTTCTTGCAATATTTTACTGTAACTTACTATAATCACACTAGCATTCATTCATTCTTTTAGTTTTGTTAAAAATTTGCAAAATTGAGAGGGAGGTTTTGACAAAAATACCTTACTTTAAATTGTGGGTTTGATTGTCACATTTATTTCAATATGTCTTAGTAGAGTACTGAATTGTAATTTGTTCATGCACATATAGATAATACAAGTATGTGCTAGTTACTAATTGAGCTAAAAATATTTAGTATCAATTTGAACTAATTTCTTCTACTTGAAAAGAGAGGAATCAATAACTTCTGAAATTCTCGTCCCTGTGGTTTATACTTTCTTGCATACCACTACAACCCACAGGAAAGAGAGAGACAAAATACTTCAAAATTATATTTAGTTAATTTCAAAGATTTATATAAGGTTAAAAATGACTGTTTTGAAAGAATATGAAGAATAGTCATTTATTAACTTGCTATACATTTAGTTCAGAGTTGAAACTCTCAACTGAATTAATAAAGTCTCTATAGATTACTGCCTCTTTGGTTTATAACTGCTGTTCATTTTTCTTTAGTTTCTTTTTAAGACAGTCCATTGATTTAATAAGCACTCAAATCTAACTTAAACAAAAAAAGGATATAAGTGAAAAAATAATAATTTTCAGTTTACATTTCACTAATTTCTTATCATATGAAATATCTTCCAAAAGATTTAATGTGTGCGTGTGTCTATGTATGCACATGTGCAGTATTTGGTTTTTGCTTTTTGGGGTTTCTTTGTTTGCCTATTTTGCTGTTGTTTTGTTTTAATTTTTAATTTAAAAAAGAAACACAATGTGGTTATGAAAGCAAACAAAATGAACAGCAGACATTCAACAGATTAGTTCCCTATATTCTGAATTTTTTTCTTTCACATAAAAATAAAAACTACTCATAAGGTTTATTAAATGTGCTCGTATTTCTACAATACAGCAACACAGAAAAACCTATAAGAGTCTGAGAGCAAAATCTGGATATGATCAGGGGTTACATAAAACGATTATTACTTCTTCAGTCCTGATTAAAACAGTACAAAATAGCACCTATTGAACCACTGAACTCATCTATGAATTTTATTGTTTCTAAAATGAAAATTTTGCAAAGTCCTCAAATCACACATTAGCCTTCTTAATATGTATCAACTTTAATTTAGAGACGTATGGTAGATAAGCTGGTTTTAATTTTAACTCAATTAAAACCAATTAAGCAAAATATTTTTTTATTTTTGAAATTTCATGAATTACTGAAAAATTCTCTTTGAGAGATCCTGGTGTTTTCTTGATCTAAATCACTTACTTGAGAAATGTTAAGTAAATCCTTACTATTACTTAAAAATACCCATTAAATGTGTATTTTTTTTTCTTCTTTGGAAGTATTATTAATATTTAAATCCCATGTAAAAAAGAGAATTTCATTAAATTAACATTAACACTTTCTTTTTACTCACTCAAAAAAGTTCTAATCTTACTTGATGAAAATGAAGCCAGCAGAGCTATTTGCCTGACCTAACATTTTGCATTTATTCCTGCCTATTTTTTGAATATAGCAACATATTAGCTGTGCTTAAGATGTATCTAATACCTTAAATTCTTGATGTAATGTTCTTCACAAAAATAGCAGGGTAAGAGTTCACTACATCATATTTACGATCTAACCAAAATCCATCATAAAACAGCAGTAAAGTCAGGTCAGCAGAGCATTATCTACTTAAGTATTTTCGTTTTACTTTACATGGAAAAAGAATTATTCTCCATACTTGACATGGAGAAAAGAAATAAAATTATTTCAGAGAACATGAACATATAAATGTCACTAAACGCTACCTAATTATGTTATTACCTGTCTAGAGAAAGTGTTACTGTCTCATTCATTTCCGGAATGTCATCAGCTTTGACAGTAATGTTGATTGTTGTGTCACTCTGCCCAGATAAAAACACAACAGAGCCATTAAAGGGTCCGATATCGTCCAGGGTCACTGCTTTTGAATTAAAGCCAGAGGGCTTCAAACTCCAGTAGACAGTAGCCTGGCCATCAGTTCCATCCCGATGTAAGGGAATGCATACCTTATAAAGAGAAGAAAACAGAACAAGTTCTTCTGAAATACATGCATACAAACTACCTAAGCTTTTCAGTTAGTACAGACACATGTTAAATAAATGTTTAGGCACTCTGCATAGAGAAGTGAACAATTAAAATGCTATTACAAGCACAATTGAGCAAGCTTCTTTCTAAGCATGACAATTATAAGATTGAACTACTTTATATTAGTTTTTGCTAATCAAATATCTACTAAATTTCCCCCACCCAACAATATTCCTATCCTGAGATTTGTCTTAACAAAAAGACTTCATTTTAAGAGCCAAAAAACTGTGAAAAACAGAACAATTTAGCTAAAGAGTAAATCTCCATCAGAGGGTCTCTGAAAAGAGAATTAATATCACCATATAAACTGAAAAATAAGCTTTTGCAAATAAATCTGGGAAGCACACAGTTATCTTCAATGCATCTTAAAGTGATAGAGGGTAAAATAAGAAAATAATAATACAAATAAGAATAAGAAATGCTTCTAACCAAACAAATGCTGATACTCAAATCATGGCTCTGAGTTTCCATGGGCAAGTTACTTAACCTTTCTGACCTCAATTTCCACATGTGAAATGAAGCTAGAGGTTCCCTATTTTGCAAGTTCCTGGTGAAGTCAAGTGTCTCTCCATAGCATGAACTAAATAAATGGAAACTATAATAATAATTCTGAAACAAATTGTATTTGGTAGTGTCATTTGAGTCCAGCACACTTTCAAAATGTCTAAGAAAAGGATCACTGAAGATCATAATGAAGTTTTTTTCAAGCAAAGAATATAAACAAATATTTAATAGTAGATATGCAATTCTTTTTAAGTGCTTAAAAAAGGTATCCTCTGCACTTTGCCCTTTAACATAGGCCATCTGGAAAAACATGGAAGATATTTTCCTCACTAACCATTCTCCTAATTTGGCTAGCAATGGTCAAGGCTGGAGGCCAGCAAGAAAGTAAGATTCTCAGAAAAGATTTAAAAAAAAAAAAAAAGAAGCAAGAAAGGGCTAGGCCCTTGATTTACCCCAAGAGTGGGCGTGGCCAGGCTGTAAATCAGACAAAGAGAACAAAGGGAAATTCTCACTTCTGCTGTTTCCCAGGAGGGGAAGACGGGTTCATGGAGCCCAAAACTTTCCCTAGAAGCTCATTCCCCTCCAGGGAAAAATATGGAATGGTACATGTACAGCTTTGTAAGATAGATGAGCAAGAACAAACCATTCTTTCAGAACAAACTGAATGCTTTCGAGGTTTTACAAGAAAATAGTGTACTATGAGAAATATACAAAATCAAAATCACCGTGAAAAATTGAGCTTCTCTGCCAATTCACAGAATCAAATATACAAACAAAAGAAGTTGTGGTCACCATATTTTGACATGAGGCTTTGGTAACAAAAACAACTCCCCACATTCCTAACCTGAACCACAAACCAGTTTAAACTGGTTTAAGTGTGAGAGAACCTGAGAGGGTTTTAGGGACAGACTGTGGCTCAGGGAATGGCATGGTCAAAGGTCAGAGTGGTCTCTAGACAGATGGCAGGAAAATTCAACCAGGTGGCGGGCAGAGAGAGGCGCCATACATGTGAACATGCTTCTGTGTGTGTATCCAGAAATATTCATATATGTAAATTATATATTTATGTGTAATTCCTAAGATTTGGTATCCCCTACTTTATCCACCACCTCCCCCACCAAACATAGGATGCCCACCCCAATCCTGCCCAAGGCAAGCATGAGGAGTGCCTGGAAATGGAAAAAGTCAAGGATTCTTGGGGTACATATGACTTGACTAATTTTTTTTTTTTAATTGTGTTGGGCTATTACTTTATCAAATGTCACAAGCCTCCTCATACTATCCTTCTTTTCCTGTAAGCAATTAATTCTAATTTTATTCTTTCAAATATGGAAAAAGATGAAAAAATCACACATTCATCAATTACTTTATGTCAAATTACAAACTGAAGGCTTGCTATAACAGTGAAGTTTTTCCAGATCTGTTAACTCTGTATTAACCTGACTCCCCCTCAAAAAAAAGTATCTCTATCTCAAACTCAATATGCCCCATCAATAAGAAAAAGTCTACTTACCACTTCAGCAGCAAAATCTTCTGGCTCATGCAAAATGATTGGAAGATTGCTAACAAAGCCAATTTCTCCATTTGCAATGTCTGGAGTAACCACCAAAGAAATATTTTGGATTTCCCCAAATCTAGGACTTATAGGTGGAATCGGGGGAACTATATTCACCAACTCCACAGCTTCTAACTGTAATAAACAGAAAAACACCATAAAAAAGTGAAAAGAAATTTTTATAACCTGGCAACTTCCATCTCCTTCATTCATCATCCTGATTCAACCTCCTGGACTTGCCTCTTAACCTCTTTCTGCTTCTCAATTATAATTATTCCCAGGGTTCTTCCTGAGACCTTTATCTTACAGTTTCACACCTGCTCCCTAAAAATCTCTGGATCTCTCCTTCAAAATTCCAAATCTTTATAACTGCCACTGAATATGACATAAATGTCGCAGAGACACCTTACAGACAGAATGTGCACAAAAGCAATCAACATCTCTGCTCCATGTTACACAATTTTCCCCAGTACTGCCATCCACTTTTCCTTGTTGCCTGTACCCACCTACCTTGATTTAAAGCCAAATATCAGCGAGTTGCTCACACCTCCCTCCTCCCTTCCACTGAACCACATCTCCAATCAAATCATTCACTCCTCCTCTCTGCCAGAGAAGATTCACTATCTGAAGACCATTCACAACTCCCAATGTGACTTAATATGTCTTTATGTTTAAAGAAATGCATCATGTGCCCCTGTGATTAATGAACATGACCTTCACTGTAACTTTCAAAGTTTTTCCTCATGTGGAAGGGCCTCTATCCATCATTTCAAAAATCAAAATGGATTTGCTTTTAAAAACTAGTTAAATATCCCTCTCCCCTAGGAAAATATCCTTGGATTCTCCAGCCCTTTTTCTTCTATCTCTTCCTCAACTTCTACTACTACCCTCACTAAACTTAGAAATTCACTTTAAATTTCACATATTGCTTGCTTATCATCATTTTCCATGTTCCAGACTCTTACTTCCCAAGAGGACTACAGAACTCTCGTGGATCTGTGTCCTTCTCAGTATTTTCCTGAAACATGACATAGACCTGTATGTACAGCAGCGACACAATCAATGTGTTGATTTACCCCTACAACACAAAAGGAACTTGCTCAGAATCCTGATCTATCAAAGCCTTCAACTTTCGAAAACCCAACTTATCAATCCTCACAGTGTTCATATGACTATAGGGATAGACAGTCAATATAGGATTGCAAAAAGCATAGATAATTCAAGTTAAAAAAGGAACTGTAGACTTAATGGAACAGAATGGATCTCTCCCTCTTCAGAGCCGCTCTTAAGCTCTGTGATGTGGATACAATGCGACTAAGTAACCAGCAGTAGACACTGGTGATTCAAGTTGGTTTTTCACAGGTGGACCAGGACTATGCTGATACTGCACATAAGCTCACTTTTTCTGATAAACAGTGTACTTTTTTTTTTTTTTACTTTACAATATTATATTGGTTTTGCCATACATTGACATGAATCCACCACGGGTGTACATGTGTTCAACAGTGTACATTTTAAGGGCAAAAGTAAATGCTTTTTAAATGTAACACAGTTTGCTTTGAAAATCATAGATAGGAGAAGAAAACACCAAAAGTTCCGTAACTGGTAAATATTTACTTCACTTGAATAAAAGAAAACAAAAAAAAAGCAATCAGACTAATTTTGCCAAACACTGGTATGTAGACTGAATCAAGTAAAATAAAACACACAGTCCCCAGGATACTGCATTTGCTCAATAAAATAAATGAAATGTGAAAATAAATAGTTCAAACGACATAACTGTCATTCTTCTAGAGAAAAATAATATACATACATATATATGTGTGTATCTTTAAAGGTAGCACAAAAATTTAAAAATAAAAATATATATTTGAATGGCACAGAGTATACACTGGTTAGAGGCAAAGACTTGAAAACACACTGGTCCTGTGTGAGTCAGAATGTGTTTGTGAATGTACATCCCTATATATTCACAGAGAGTCAAACTGATAACACTGTTGAAAACATCAAGGGGGAAAAAAACCCAACATATTTTACTTTGAAACTTCTCAAAAAGGACAAAATTCATATTCTTCTTAAATTTATCAAAACAGTTACAGAACTAATTCTAAACGTGGTATTTTTGGAAACTAAGAAGAAAGAAGATGTAGAAGGCTATGAAATGAACTGATCAAAAGGAAAATGCTAATTTTCCATGGCTTACTTCCTAGTCTCCAAGCCTTTTTTGTCTGGGTTCCTTAAGCATCTGCTAAATCAAACTACTCCATTCATAAAGAGTCGTTCTTTGCTTTCAGACAGTTTGCAAGGGGGACAGCACATTAGTAACCCCATGCCTGCCAAAAGCTGTGTCCCAGACTAATGTATTTAGCTGAGAGGGTCACTAAAGAATAAGAAGCTCATGTCTCTGATTCTCCTTTCTTCAGTTTCATTCAGATTTCCACGCAGAGTCTGATGCCTCCTATTCTAAAGTTGCTCATCTATTATGTACTATACAAACTACACAACCTTTTAATTCCAACCAGACTTCCAGAGCTGACAGCTGTTCTGAACCTTAAGGAACTGTGTCAGTGACTAATAATGCCTTTTCTTCCTAAAGTGTTAAAATAACCGTCTGCACTATAAGACCTTTCTTATTCAAATGAATACAGAGATAGATAAAAATTGAGTCTGGAATTAGTACAAAAAGTTTCTAACCCACGATCACCAAAATTCAGATATTCTTCAAGTTTCTCCTTACTTTTCAAGTGTTATCAAAAATAAACTGTCATGTTCATATTTGTTCTTCAGTCACTCAGTCGTGTCCGACTCTTTGCGACCCCATGGACTGCAGCACTTCAGGCCTCCCTGTCCTTCACTATCTCCCAGAGCTTGCTCAAACTCAGGTCCATGGAGTCGGTGATGCCATCCAACCATCTCATCCTCTGTCATCCCCTTCTACTGCCTTCAATCTTTCCCAGCATCCAGGTCTTTTCTTATGAGGAGGCAAAAGTACCAGAGTTTCAGCTTCAGCATCAGTCCTTCCAACGAATATTCAGGGCTGATTTCCTTGGGGATTGACCGGTTTGATCTCCCTGTAGTCCAAGGGACTCTCAAGAGTCTTCTCCAACACCACAGTTCACAAGCATCAATTCTTTGGCACTCAGCCTTCTTTATGGTCCAACTCTCACATCCATACATGACTACTGGAAAAATAATAGCTTGGACCTTTGTCAACAAAGTAATGTCTCTGCTTTGTAATACGCTGTCTAGGTTTGTCATAGCTTTTCTTCCAAGAAGCAAGCATCTTTTAACTTCATGGCTGCAGTCACCATCTGCAGTGATTTTGGAGGCCAAGAAAATAAAGTCTGTCACTGTGTGCACTGTTTCCCCATCTATTTGCCATGAAGTGATAGGTCCGGATGCGATGATCGTCGTTTTTTGAGTTTTAAGCCAGCTTTTTCACTGATCATGTTCATATAGAAGGCTTAAATAAAATCACTAGAGTAATTCTGACTGGTTGAAGATTTTTAATACAGTTTTGTTTAGTGAAGTCGCTCAGTTGTGTCCGACTTTTAGTGACCCCATGGACTGCAGCCTACCAAGCTCCTCCCTCCATGGGACTTTCCAGGCAAGAGTACTGGAGTCGGGTGCCATGGCCTTCTCCAGGCGCTTAGTCGCGTCCAACTCTTTGCGACCTCATGGACTGCAACAAGCCAGGCTTCCTGTCCTTCACTATCTCCCGGAGTTGGCTCAAACTCATGTCCATTGAGTCGGTAATGCCATCCAACCATCTCATCCTCTGTCACCCTCTTCTTCTCCTGCCCTCAATCCTTCCTAGCCACAGTAAAATCTGGTTTTGAGGCAGTGTAAGAAAACAAATCAGAAATGGAAAACAGAAAAGTTCTCTACAATCCCAAATCAATACTCTGCATCATCAATGCTCAATCTCGGGTCACATCAATCAATCCATCAATCCTCAGGTCACGTCACTGCAACTAGTACAGGAATTCCAGGCCTCCATGAAAGCAAAATCAGCTGTGTAAAATCTTTCCTTCATTTCACTTGTTTTAGTAATTTCTTTCTCATATGAGTTTTGACCTAGCCAAGACCGGGGACAAAGGGAGAAGTGAATAATGAGATTCTAGGGACCAAAAAACCTTAAACATACATGCTATGAATTGAATGCTTGTATCCCCACCCCTAGAATTCATATGTTGAAACCGTTATGCCCAATAAGATGGTATTTGGAGATGGGACCTTTGGAAGGCAACCAGGTTGTAAGAGTAGAACCCTCATGATGAGGTTAGTGCCCTTTTAAGGAGAAACACCAAAGAATTTGAATCCTCTCTCTCTCCATCACGTGAGCACTCAGCAAAAAGATATCATTTCTGCACAGCAGGAAGGGGATTCTCCCCGAGTCTGATCGCACACCTCCCAGCCTCCAGAAGTGAGGAAAGTAAATGTCTGATGTTTAAGCCACAACCCAGTCTGTGGCAGTCTTTACAACAGCCTGAACTGACCAAGACAATATCTACTAGTGAGAATGCTCTGAATCCAAAGGACACCAACAGCAGAGAAGGCAAAGGAGTGCCCCTGGTGGTCCAGGGGTTAAGAATCCGCCTGCCAGTGCAGAGGATATGGATTCGATCCCTGGCCTGGGAAGATCTCACACGGCATGGGGCAACTAAGCCCGTGTGCCACAGCTATTGAGCCTATGCTCTTGAGCCAGGGAACTGCAACTACTGAAGCCCGTGTGCCTGTGCTCAGTAACAAGAGAAGCCCCCCCAGTGAGAAGGCTGTGCACCAAATATAGAGTAGCCCCAGTCACCGCAACTAGAGAAAGCCCACAGAAAGTGAAAGTGAAGTCACTCAGTCGTGTCCGCCTCTTTGCGACCCCATGGACTGTGGCCTACCAAGCTCCTCTGTCATGGGATTTTCCAGGCAAGAGAACTGGAGTGGGTCGCCATTTCCTTCTCTAGGGGATATTCCCAACCCAGGGATCGAAGCCGGGTCACCCGCATTGTAGGCAGACGCTTTTACCGTCTAAGCCACCAGGAAAAACCCATACACAGCTACAAAAACCCAGCGCAGCCATAAATAAATAAAGTTATGATGTTTTTCAGAAGGCCAAACTTAAGCGTTTTAAGATTTTCTAAGTATATCTCTAAATGTGCTCTGGCAGCAGTATTCTAATTGCCTTAACTTCTTGCTCAACAGGGCCAGGACCATGGGCTTAACCACTTGCTCAATTTCACTTCACAGATTCAGATCCACCACTGTCTGGCCATTCATCTCACAAGAGCATTCTGGTAGTGGCAAGGGGGAACAGAAACAACCGTGAATGACACCATGTCTCGCTCACCCATCATGCCAAGAGGAGAAATTCAAGGGTCCTCTAAAAAGAAGGTTATCCTTATAGACAGAGGGTACATCGCATAATAATTTACTCATTATGAGGAGACACAACAGAATAATAGTAATAACAATAAAGATGAAAAACAGATCTCCCACCACTAGGGACAAAGTCTTGGGATACTGACAAAAGGTCACCCATACATAGACCTATTGCAAAAAGTCATCCCTACATACCAGCAAATAATATACCTTAACGGAGCACTCACTAGACACCTCCACTAGCAGTCCTCAATTAATGCACAAATCATACAAGCATGAGAAGTAGACCAGCTCAAAAAAAAAAAGATAAAAAGTCTTCAGAATAAAATGGCCCACCCCACCAAGTGCTAATAAGCAAGGTATGACACAGACATGAGAAATTCAAATGCCAAGAAGATTTTTCTAAAAAAGCTTTCAGAGAAGAAGAGCAAGTTAACCTAAAGGCAAATAATTTCTTTTCCTCAAACTTCTCATCAGCTACCCTGGAAGCTAAAAGAGAGTACCTTTCAAGTTCTTAGGAAGAAATTACTTTAATCTAGAAATTCCTATAAGCCAGGAATCAATGTATGAAATTTCACTGAGCTCAAAGGCTCAAGAAGCTTACCTGGCACATACTTCTTCTGTTCATGTATTTGAGGATACATGTGTTACAACAAACTAAAACACAATCCAAGAAATAAGAGGCAAGAAATCAAGAAAATTAAGGAGTTAGTAAAACAGTCACAAGCAGCATGTGAGAAGCAAGTTGGAGAAAGCAGCGTGCACAGCTAAACTCAGCATTCAACACGTGTAAGACAGCTTGGAAGGACTGATACCAAAGCTCCAATACTTTGGCCACCTGATGTGAAGAGCCGACTCTTTCAAAAAGACCCTGATGGTGGGAAACGCTGAGGGCAGAAGGAGAAGGAGAAGGGGGCAACAGAGGATGAGATGGTTGGATGGCATCATCAACTCAATGGACGTGAATTTGAGCAAACTCCAGGAGATAGTGAAGGACAGGGAAGCCTGGCATGCTGCAGCCCATGGGGTCACAAAGAACTGGACACAATTTATCGACTGCACAAAAAAGACAGCTGGATGGAAGACCTAATTTGGTAAGAATGGCATATAAAAGGGGACAGTCAGAAACTCCAGAGAAAGCAATAATAAACTATAAAACAAAGCTAGGGAAAAATACGAAACAAATTTAAATATCCCATGGTTCAAAGAAATTGATGAAATATGAGATATCATTTCATATATACTTCAGTTAGCATAATGTATGGTAACAGATTATACATTCCTCCCTTACTGCTCTATTTATACTATCTGATTATGTTTGAAATTTAGAAATTTAGTTACACAAATTTAGTTACAAAATTTGATAAGCACATTTTATTCTTTCTAATTTTCAAAATCAATCAATAGCATCCATGTGGAAAATACAACTATAGTATTGTGAGTACAGAGGTATCAAACTTTGGCAATAAAAACAATGCTTTGGTTTGGACGTCCCCAGAGGTTCAGCGACTCCACACTTCCACTGCAGTGGGCATGGGTCTGATCCATGGTCAGGGAACTAAGATTCCGCATGCAAAGCAGTATGGCCAAAAAAAATTTTTTTTTAAATGTTTAAAATAATGCTTTGGTTAATAAAAGTTAAGAAATAATAGAAAATAGAAAACTATAAGAGCTTTATTTCTTATTAAGTAATAAAAGTCCAAAGACTCTATGTATGTTAACAGATTTTTTTGGTATACTATTTTAAAGTATCTACACAATTTTCTGTCATATTGCTTTCTTCATTTCTGAACGCCTTCCCTGCAATATCCATCATGAAAAACATATTTATTCTACAATCCAAATTTCAATGTTACATTTTCCCACATCAACTCAAAAGAATGACGGACCTCTCACTGGCTCTCTCCCGACCCTCCCCGACTCACAGTTCATGAATAACTCCATTATATCATGAATTATATTGACCTACATTTCATGTCTGATCAGCTTTTATTATTGCATAATTAAAACACTGAACTTACTATGTCTGATCTGCTTTTATTATTGCATAATTAAAACAACAATCTTAGTATAACCCTTGTTTTATTCATCCTTATATGCCTGAGGGGCAGACAGTTTCTCTTTGGACTCCCTACATAACTTGCAGTAAGCAACAGAATCCAAAATATAAATAAAGATTAAAATAATGACTAGTTAACTCTCTCACTCAGGTAAGTACACATGTGGCTGAACCAAAGTTGAGATGATTTTAATCATTAAAGTACCTGTACTAAAAAGTGGGCCCCATTTTGAAGGAATGCATCATTTCTTATAGGCAATTTTATAGTGACTTGGGTTTTCTGTTCTGGAAAAATGAGACTGCTTCTCTTGGATATATTTAAGATGCCATCTTTTGCTCGCAAAGGGTCCACAGCTCCAGCAGGAATATAAAGTGCAGAATAAAATATCTTCACATCTCCTTTAGTTCCTCCTAGTCTTGCAAGACTCAATGACAAACATCGTTCACCTGGGCTACTTTCAATCTTCTGGTTTTCCACAGGAAAAAATGTTATTAGGCCATAAACATCATCACTATCCTGAATGTAAAACAAAAGCTGAAGATAAAGGAATAAAACATTAAAGTGCAGAATTCTCACATCTAAGATCACCAAACTGTTTATTTTCTAGGCTAATTTGAATTTTAACGTGTAATTCTGTATCATATCTAAAAATGATTACTCATATAAGGAACAGAGTAAAATATGAATTGGGCTTCCCAGGCGGCTCAGTCATAAAGAATCTGCCTGCCAATGCAGGAGATGCACATTCGATCCCTGAGTTGGAAAGATCCCAGCTGAGTTGAGAGCAGGTAATTGCAACCCACTCCAGTATTCTTGCCTGGGAAATCCCACGGACGGAGGAGACTGGCAGGCTACGGTCTATGGGGTCGCAAAAGAGTCGGACACGACTTAGCGACTGAACAACAACAAAAAGAAGATGAATTAAAAACACATTTGAAAACTTTGTGGAATTTAAGAACCAACTTTTTATTTACAGATGGGACAACCTTCAGCAAGGGAATTAACCACCACTTCCAAAACCCGTCCTCTTCCTGTCATATCAAACTAAACATATATAAGATTTTTGTATATGGTCAAATTCTTTGTCTGACAGCACAGAAGTATTTCTACAAGCAAAGCATAGCAAGAGATCTACCTCCGCTGGTTCGCTCACTTCTGCACCTCCTCGTATCGTATGAGGTAGAATTTGAAGTAGGTAAGCTTCTGCCTCTTCTGGAAGATCATCATTAACGACAATGAGAGGAATCGATGCCAACATCTGCCCTTGTGCAAAATGGAGAACTCCAGATCTTGGCCTGATATCTGTCGTTACCGGTGAGGGATCACTGCTATTGCGTGTCAGTATCCAGTTCACAGAAACATTTCCATGAGTGCCACCATTTCTAACCACTGTAATTTCTTCAAATCTGGAAGAAATATGATATGGTCACATAATACACTCTATTTCCCTTGAAGTGGGCATTTTCAACATCAAGTTGGCCACTAGCCACTGGTAAGCAGAATCCAAACCATAAAGAATGACTGCTTTTAATATGAAGGGGTAGGTATGAAGATGTGTGCTAGGAAACTACCATAACATGAATTAACTTGCATATTTAAATATGTGCTTCAAGTCTCATTCCCCAAATAAGAAAGAAAACAGTGAAACCATGGTCAAGGAAATTACACATATCCTTAACAGTTCAGCACTGTGTCCAACACCACAAATACCAAATCTTGGAATAATATATTAAAATAACTGCAACAATACAAGGTTTAAAATAAATCCTACCTTGCTGTTGTATCTTCATCAATTATAACTGTCCTTTCAAACAAGACGCTGTTGAATGAGAGGACCCCATAAGGTTTGTCATTTGGCTTAATGGTGATTTGCACAACAGAAGGGCCTAATAGCACAGCATCTCCCCGCAAAGTATCTTTCAGTAACATGACTTGAAACGATTCAGCAATCTCTGGTATGGCATCATCTACTATTTGAAATTTCAGGTGTGATTCATAAATAAAAGGTGGAAAAACAATAGTTGTGTTTGGCTGAAGATCAATGAAGTCTAAATTTTGCTGGGCATGTGCTGTTGAATTCCCAGTTATAATAACATAACTGATAGAAACTTCACAGTCATCAGATCCAATCAAATTTCCACTGTCATCTTTTCCACGAACCACTGGAATTGTGAGTATGTGGTCTTCCTCGGGTACCAAATAAACATTCTGAATGAATCTCACAGGACTGTCATTTTTCTTAACAATGATCTCAACTGAGTCCCTGGAGGTATTGATCTCAGCTCCTCCTTCTACACTTTTCAGTTGAATCAAAAATATTTCATCATTTTCTGGTACCTGTCAGAGAAATACAAGCAATTCCAAAACATCAATAGCTAAAACACCTGCAAAACACAAAGTATAAAAAGCACTTATATTTCAATGCAATTACACAGAAATTTTTTTTAAAAAATCTTTAACCAAAAGGAGCAGATAAGGAGGCTTGTTCAGTGTCTATTTACTAAACTATTTTCCAAAGGTAAATAACATATTCTAGAGAAAGCAATGAAATGAACAAGAAATGAAGTATCAGCATAATGACTTTCAGCCTTGATCGATCTCTAGAGAACTAAAGATCTGACAGAAAAACAAGTTCTTATTAGCTTCATCAGGTGTGCAGGATCAGAAGCAACATTCAAGGTCTAATAACATTTAATAATTTGGTAGACTACAATAAACATCACATACAAATTGTTAGTTTTCCTATCATGCCAATTATTCTTGCTTCTAAGCAGCTTATATCTCAAGATTTATCCATGATACCAATTATATGATTTTCAAAATACATACCATGCATCTCTGGAAAACAAGCTGTAAGAGTCACTTTAGGCAAAATGATGACACTGTTAAAATGTAAGTTTTTTTAACTACACAGAAATCCCAGGGATAATTTCTACTGTGCTATTTGCACTTTTACTTCACTATAAATGAATGAAAGTGAAATAATATATACTTCTAACTCCATCAACGGAAATACAAAAAGTAAAGCTATTTATCTCAAAAAATAAAATGCAATGGTTTGACTGAAGATCTGTTTCCTTCAAACTTCATTGAGGAATAATTTTAAAAAAATAACTAATATATTTATGGGTACAATATGATGATTTGATATACATATACATTGTGATTACAAAGATCAAGATATTAACAAATCCATCACCTCACACAGTTAATTCTATGTATGTATGTGTGGAGAGAATGCCTAAGCCCTACTCTCAGTAACTCTGAAGTATAGAATACTATATTATTAACTATAGTCTTTTACACTTGCAATTAAAATGTATAATTAATTACTGCCCCCAAATTATAACCTGCTCAATGTTCCAGGTTCTAAAAACAAACGGTTTTGCTAGCTTTCACAACCACTGAGCTAGAGCTATCAGCACTGTTTAATATTTCACTTTTTCAAGAGAAATACTCTTTTCTAATAATGTCTTCTAATTCATCTTTTTGGGGATTTGTTGTGATTTAGTTTCATGATTATTTGTGGGAGGGTAGAGGGATAGATTCCCAGCTACCCCTTTTCTTCTGGTATTACTGCTAAGGTTATTGTGTTAAAAGACATATTTTCTTTTGGTTAGCTCATTAAGGAACATCCCTGTATATATTGTTCAAATTCACTCTTTCCTTGCCAGTTAAACTAGCCATGTCATATATCTCAATCCTTGGTAGTTTCACTGTGAAATTAAAAACAACAAAAGCCTTCCTATGAATGTGAACATTTGAAATATCCAAACAAATAAATATCAATTGCAAAAGAATTTTGTTTGCTTTTATAGTACTACATTTATGCTAGGTAAGTAATACTATACCTGCTCGAAACTGCAATGACTAGCAAAATCAATCATCAAAGTTTACAAAATTCTGAAATGCTTGTTTTGAGTATGGCTGTCAGTTACATTCAAGTTTATCGCCTTTCAGATATACAACTTAATGTGATTTAAATAAGGTAAATATTAACAAGATCTATTCCAAAATAGGCATTAACAGCTATGGCATATCTGGCTGCAATACATTACTTTATATATGACTGTGCTCTTGAATAATTTCAAATACTGAACACAACTTAATACTTGACATAATATTCCCTAACATGACCATGATACAGAGAGCCATTGTTCCTCTTCAGCAGTTAATACATCCTACCTCATCATCAAGTACTGTCAAGTTATAAACTACTGTTGCTTTGCCAGGAGGAAAAGTGATATTTCCTTTAACTGGACTTAAATCATCTTCAGGTGGATTTGGGCCACCCTCTACCTGCAAAGAAACATGGTGCCATCAATAAACATAAAACATTTCATTAGCGTAAGAAAGCATTACTGTGATATAAACTGGCAAACTTACTTTAAAATGTTTTGCAAGAAGAATGACACTAACCTGTATTAAGTCTGCCCTTTTAATTAATGGAGTCAAGGCCCATAATATAATTATAGATCTTGACTATAATTAAACTACAAGGGCTTCCCTGGGGGCTCAGAGAGGAAAGAATCTGCCTGCAATGTGGGAGACCCAGGTTCAACCCCACTGTTCTTGCCTGGAGAATTCTATGGACACAGAAGTCTGGTGGGCTATAGTCCACAGGCTCACAGAGAGTCGGACACGACTGAAGCAACTTAGCACACACGCAGATTAAACAACATGGTTTCTAAGAGCTTTTTCTCAACCATAATATTAAGCCTGAGGGAAAACTTTATAAAAACTTTTTCTTGAGCAGAATGCATTCAAAATTATTATATTCTCTTAAGTAATGGAATCAAATACCAGTTCTACCCCTGGTGGTGTAACCTTGGATGAGGTATTTTTAACAACCCTGTGTCGCTGTTTCCCCATCTTTAAAATGAGGAAACAAGGTCCACTTACCAGGCTAGATGTAAATATTTAATAAAATCATATTCCTTTCAAAAAGTATTTATTAAGTACTCTGTGTCTGACCTCTCTTAGGTACTAAGGATATAGCAGAGAACAAGGCAAGCTTTCTACCCACCAGGACCTGACATTTAATGAAAGGGAACAAATGGAAGATAAATAAATGTGTGGCAGATGATGGTGAGGACTACGGAAAAAAACATTTTAAATGGCAGGAGGGACACTGAGTGCTGGGAAGAGCTACAGTTCACATGCAGCAATAATCAGCACAAAGCACTTAGACCAGGGCCGAGCAATGTTAAGTGCTCCACAAATGTTAGCTGTAATCATTTCAACAGAACAAAAGGCTCAAGATTCAATAAAACAACTTCAGACATTCACGGAGAGTTGAAAACACTATAACCTGATGATGCCTTATCATTTCTACAGCCAATTTTTTTCCAGTTTTTCGAATGTGACTGCTGTTAGCACCATCCATTAAGTGTATTTTTTTTAATGGAGAATGTATATAGGGAAGACTACATATTAGATAATTTTATGTAAGCCTAAGAACCCATGAGCATTTTAAAATTTTATATCCTTAAAGAGATCTGTCATAAATGTTCTATGAATTTTACAGAATTATTGTTATTAATTTGTGGCTTATTATTATCCTGTATCTAAAATAATCTGTTGTGTTTCATGGAAGCATAGTATATTCCAAGCAGCAAGGAAAACAGTTTTCTATTAAACATGAAATTTCTCAGATGATGAAAGCATTCTATTTCATTTTCATTAAACGTCATGTTTATTATACCAAGGACCTTGATTTTTTTAAATTGCAGGGATCTAGTATGAGTTCTAAGCATTACCATTTAAAATGATTTCACAGTAAACTTACCTCAAAAGTCACAGTCACCATCCCATAGGTTCCTTTTTGTCTGATGAGAGTAAGAGGCACAGATTCATTTCTGCCTCTGGGCTCACTCACCGTGATTGAGAAAGGCTATTGGGAGAGCAAAGACCATCAGGTGCTGATCAACCAGAGGCAGGAGCTCATGCAAACAGTTACTACCTTAGAAATCCTAATTTTCCACAGACAAATCCATCTACATTGTGCTTTTAGGAATGTGGGGTTTCCTTGCCTTCATCAACTATAGCTAATAAGGCTTAGAAGGTTCAAATAATAGTATAAAGGGAACATAAAACTAATCAGGCAAAAGATGGAGGTTCCTGCCCTGCTTCTGCCAACAATGAGCTGTTCTGCTGAGGAATCTTAAAGGTTACCTAATTGAAAGGTGACAAATTCAAAGGCTCCCAGGGGCCTAGGAGGTCACAGGAATGAGTTGTGCCTCCAGACCCGGGCAGCTCACTGGGACTATGGCTCAGCCTTGCTCTCAACCACTGTTCCTTCCTCATCGGTCAGCTTGCCACTGAAAACAGACAGCTGCTAATGAGATCCAACCAGTCCATCCTAAAGGAGATCAGTCATGGGTGTTCATTGGATGTTGAAGCTGAAACTCCAATACTTTGGCCACCTGATGCGAAGAGCTGACTCATTTGAAAAGACCCTGATGCTAGGAAAGATTGAGGGCAGGAGGAGAAGGGGACAACAGAGGATGAGATGGTTGGATGGCATCACCAACTCAATGGACATGGGTTTGGGTGAATTCCGGGAGTTGGTGGTGGACAGGGAGGCCTGACGTGCTGTGGTTCGTGGGATTGCAAAGAGTCGGACATGACTGAGGGACTGAACTGAACTGAATGACTTTTTTCAGGACATGATCACTGAGGGAAAGAAAGAGCCAGGACTTCAAGTGTTGGAAAGTGTTGGCATGGCCAGTTGAAACTTGGGGTAGAAGAGGTCAGTGGCCAGGTACAGGCCAGCCAAGGTAGCAGGTGACCCTAGGTCTCAGTATCCCCATCCATCAACAGGGGTAGGAATGCCTGTCTCAAACAGTTCTGATGAGGTTGCAATGAGATCAATTCACACTTAAGAGCTTATCCTAGTACAGGATACATAGTGAGGGCCAGCAAAGGTTGGCTATAATTATCATCACCATCACTGTCATCTTCATCATCGATACAATCATCATCCAGTCTGGAAACCAAAGTCAGACCAGGTACTTTAAGGAAACTAAAGTACTGAGACCTCATCAGTTACTTAGTTAAAATTTTAATCACAGAGGGAAGGTACCCAGGCAGAGACTGCCGGGCAGCCATGAGACCACAACAGTTGGGAACTTGGGACCAATGCTAGAAACTGGGATTCATTCTGAGGCTAAGATATTTAATGTCAAAAGAAAGAAGGAAAGAAACCTTTAAATGAATCAGTATGTGGTTGGGGATAAAGAGTTGGGAGTGAGTGTTAAGGCAGAGGGGAGAAAAATCAAGCAGTTAAGGGAGCCTGGTTCATAATTAACTAATAATTCCCTATCATTCAAAAAAGAAGTGATTTGATTAATAACTTTTGTAAATGCTATAATAATGGAGGTTACAAAATGTCTACTACATTGGCATGATCCACGTATCCTTTTTAAAAAGGATACTGCAACTCTAAAGATCATCTTATCTATAACTTACCTTGTTTCAAAGGTAATTTAAGGTGCTAAGAAAATTACATACAATACACCAATTGAAGGAGTTACCTAAATTGGAATATAGATAACAAGGTGGGAAGGGTCATATCATCTTTTAGTAATGATAATCAGTAACATATTCAAAAGACTCTAAAAATCAGGAAACTTACTGTAGACTAAAATGTAGTTGCAATATATCATTCCACTTAATATAAATTCTGTTTTTATTTCAGAGCCGAGTACGATTTTTATCAGGGAGGGGACCTGCCTTGTATGTTTGTTTCTAAAGACAAAACCCTCTGAACACAGGACTGACCAGGGACACACGAATTTGGTGATAAGAGAGAAAAAAAAATGAACTTTTGAGCAAAACTAAGGGGGATGAGCTTAAACTTTCAAGAAATATTAATTAATAGGAAAATCTCCAGGTAAGGAATAATTATAGAATTTTTAAGAGCTATAATGTCTGCTATTCAACTTAAGCTTACTATAGGTTTTTCTTTTCAGTGTTCTTTCTATGTATTTCTCTTCTCTCAAGTCACTCCAAACTTTCAGATGAGGCTAACAATGCTTTTTTTAAGTGGCAGTTGGGGACATCAAGCAAAAGGAGCTGAGTTACAACATCTGTTATAGACTGAATGTCCGTGCCCCCTCAAAATTCATGTTCAGATCCTAACCTCCAATGTGATGTTATCGGAAGTTGGGGCCTTTGGGAAGGGAGTAGGTTATGAGGGCAGAACCCTTATGAATGAGAATAGTATTCTTATAAAAGAGACCTCCAAGAGTTCTCTTGCCCCTTCCACCACAAGGAAACACAGCAAAAAGAGAACTGTCTATGAACCAGGAAGTAGGCCCACACCAAACCTCAAATCTGCTGATGCCCTGATTTTGGACTTGTCAGCCTCCATAACAGTAAGAAATAAATTTCTGTTGTTACTAAACCACCCAGTCTATATTCTGATACTCTTTTTATAGTAGACTGAACTAAGACAATATCTAAGTTAGAGAACAAATGAAGCAGGTAGAATGATCAGCAGAAAGAGATTAGGGCAAGACATGACCATGATTTTATAGGCCTCTTCACTTCTAAGTAATCTTAGATAAAACACTAACAATGAGAAAACAGAAAGAAAAATTAAGAAAACAATCCCATTCACCATTGCAACGAAAAGAATAAAATACTTAGGAATATTATCCACCTAAAGAAACAAAAGGCCTATAAATAGAAAACTATAAAACACTGGTGAAAGAAAGCAAAGAATACACAAACAGATGGAGAAATATACCATGTTCATGGATTGGAAGAGTCAATACTGTGAAAATGAGTATACTAGGCAAAGCAATCTATAGATTCAGTGCAATCCCTATCAAGCTACCAACGGTATTCTTCACAGAACTAGAACAAATAATTTCACAATTTGTATGGAAATAAAAAAACCTTGAATAGCCAAAGCAATCTTGAGAAAGAAGAATGGAACTGGAAGAATCAACCTGCCTGACTTCGGGCTCTACTACAAAGCCACAATCATCAAGACAGTATGGTACTGGCACAAAGACAGAAATATAGATCAATGGAACAAAATAGAAAGCCCAGAGATAAATCCACAAACCTATGGACACCTTATCTTTGACAAAGGAGGCAAGAATATACAATGGAGAAAAGACAATCTCTTTGACAAGTGGTGCTGGGAAAACTGGTCAGCCACTTGTAAAAGAATGAAACTAGAACACTTTCTAACACCATACACAAAAATAAACTCAAAATGGATTAAAGATCTAAATGTAAGACCAGAAACTATAAAAATCCTAGAGGAAAACATATGCAAAACACTCTCCAACACAAATCACAACAGGATCCTCTATGACCCACCTCCCAGAATATTGAAAATAAAAGCAAAAATAAACAAATGGGACCTAATTAAACTTAAAAACTTTTGCACAACAAAGGAAACTATAAGCAAGGTGAAAAGACAGCCTTTAGAATGGGAGAAAATAAGAGCTAATGAAGCAACTGACAAAGAATGACTCTCAAAAATATATAAGCAACTCCTGCAGCTCAACTCTAGAAAAATAAATGACCCAATCAAAAACTGGGCCAAAGAACTAAACAGACATTTCTCCAAAGAAGACATACAGATGGCTAACAAACACATGAAAAGATGCTCAACATCACTCATTATCAGAGAAATGCAAATCAAAACCTCAATAAGGTACCATTTCACTCAGTCAGAATGGCTGCTATCCAAAAGTCTACAAGCAATAAATGCTGGAGAGGGTGTGGGAAAAAGGGAACCCTCTTGCACTGTTGGAGGGAATGCAAACTAGTACAGCCACTATGGAGAACAGTGTGGAGATTCCTTAAAAAACTGGAAACAGAACTGCCATATGACCCAGCAATCCCACTTCTGGGCATACACACCAACGAAACCAGAATTGAAAGAGACACGTGTACCCCAGTGTTCATCACAGCATTGTTTATAATAGCCAGGACATGGAAGCAATCTAGTTGTCCATCAGCAAACAAATGAATAAGAAAACTGTGGTACATATACACAATGGAATATCACTCAGCCATTAAAAAGAATACATCTGAATCAGTTCTAATGAGGTGGATGAAACTGGAGCCTATTATGCAGAGTGAAGTAAGCCAGAAAGAAAAACACCAATACAGTATACTAACACATATATATGGAATTTAGAAAGATGGTAACGATAACCCTATATGTGGGACAGCAAAAGAGACATAGATGTATAGAAGAGTCTTTTGGACTCTGTGGAAGAGGGCAAGGGTGGAATGATTTGGGAGAATGGCACTGAAACATGTATATTATCATATGTGAAATGAATCGCCAGTCCAGGTTTGATGCATGAGATAGGGTGCTCTGGGCTGGTTCACTGGGATAACCCAGAGGGATGGGATGGGGAGGGAGGTGGGAGGGGGGTTCAGGATGGGGAACACATGTACACCTGTGGTGGATTCATGTCAATGTATGGCAAAACCACTACAATATTGTAAAGTAATTAGTCTCCAATTAAAATAAATTTATATTTAAAAAAAGAAAAAATGCTAAATAAATAAATTAGTTAAATAAAACAAAAAACAAACAAAAAAAAAAGGACAGTCTACAGAATGTGGAATGTGGATAAAGCTGAGCAAATCTTATTTAAAACACTTATAGGATGTTTACATAGGATGATACTAGGTAACATAAAAAGCTATCCAAAATTTAATAAACTATTATCTAGCAATCACAAGATAAATCAAACCATAACCATACCATATTAAAGGAAATAATCCCAAATGCATTGTCATTTGATAATATTGTCACAGTAACAGTTCTGGGCCACCCAAGCTTCACATTTGCTGAAGGTTTCTAAAACAAAAGCCAAAAAAATAAATTAACACATTCAACAAGAGGAAAACAATTATTTTAACAGCATTTCAGTCTTTAAGTAATCATTCAGAAAATGAATAAAAACACAAGTATTTTTTAAGGCACAGACTAAGAAAATATATTCAAACTAAATCAACATGGTGAAGTCCCAAACAAGAACTCTTCAAAAGAGTTTTTAAAACCATTAATCACTGTTAAAATATAAATTGTTGTAATTATAAATAATCACTGACTAGTAATAAATTATAATTACTTAAATTTCATGACTAATATTGAGTTGGCCAAAAAATTCTTTCAGGTTTTTCTGTAACACAATATAACAGAGAATTAAGTGACCGTATGAAATTCGGTTCAAACACGACTCTTTTCTTACACTATAGAAGGTGCTAAAACTTAAAGAATTAGTTATTCTATCAGTCGTAGAGCCAAAATAAAGTTAAAACAGTACAACAATTTTTCTAATAAGTATGGGCAGAGTGTGCTACAACATTTTCATTGATATTTAATAGCGGCATAAAGGATTACAAGAAAAGTTTTTTACAAAAGCAAAACATGATTGCTTCCAGTACCAATTTCATAAAATTTTAATCATACCAACACAATCCTTCTAAAAAGAAACTTTCAATCCACTGGAGAAAAATTAACGAGAGCAGTGTTAGCCACCATTGCCTCAACATAATAGATCATATCATAAAGGACGATTAAACCTTAGGCTAGTCAAGCATTTTTCCCAGGGTCACTCCAAATTTACTCTAAGGCACGGGGACCCCCCACTTCCAGGCCTGCTTTTTGTAGCTAGCCCTCTCCTTGGAACTCAGAAGTCATGGTCATTCTTCGTGCAGCTGGTAGCAGGGGAGGGACAGAAGAGAAAAGGGCCAAAGGGAAGACAAGGTTTTCTTGAGCATCTGTCATGGCAGTCCCTAAATAAAGCTGAATTAATGCAAAAACTAGCTGCAGAATCTTCTAAACAAGATTGTCTGAGGAATAACCAGACCATGGAATTGCCAACAAGATTGTCAGTTCTGGCTTCTATGAAAACCACCACCAAGCACTTAAATTGGCTTATCTCTAGAGAAACTTACTTTTAAGCTTTGTAAGATTTTTATAAGTTTAAGCTTTAACAGGGGGAAAAAAAGGACTTACCTGTAAAGTTAAGTGAAAAATGAAAGTTTCATCTGGCTCCGGGAAATCGTCATCACATACTGCTATGTACACGGTCCTATTGGTTTCTCCAAAGGGTATAAAAGTTGCAGCATATGTGTCAAAAAAGTCCCCAGTGTCATCTCCATACAGCTATCAAATGCAAAACAGATAGTTCTTACATAACAGAGAGTTAGGACAAGCAGAATTGATGCTAAATACAGCAAACAACAGGAAAAAAAAAAAAAAACATGAATCATCAAATGACACTGAAGTTTATAAACAGGATGTACAAAAACTAAACAAATATCTAACAACTGATTAAAAATCACCTTTCAAAAGCATTATAAAAAGAAATGATTCTACATAAAAATATGTGTTTATTCTCTTGACGGTAACGGGATCGTTTCCTAGAAAAGTAATAATCACACAGGAAAACAATGATGTGAATTTTTTTTCCCTCCACCTCTTAATTGATTTGACATGGACTGCAGCAAACCTAACAAGAAGGGAGGCCTGGCGTGCTGTGGTTCATGGGGTCACAAAGAGTCGGACATGACTGAGCGACTGAACTGAACTGAGCAAGAAGATCAACTGTAGCTAAAATTCTCCCAAAGAAGATGTGTAAGTAGCCTGCCAAAACATATCAGGAAAAAAATTTAATGAAACTACTCTTTCCAAAACTTTTGACTTGAAGCCTTATTTATATTCCCCCAAAGCAACAATAAAGACTCAATTTTTTAGTATACCAAATTTATTAGTCATTATAAACTTTTCCTCAGAACTTTTTAAGACCTCATTCTGTAACATCAGCATTGCTAAGATTCTCAAAGGAGCAATAATTATGAAATTATAAAGCAGCAACTTCTTGTGAAAATCCAAATGAGATTTTTTTTTCTGCCAAAGAATGCAAAATGAGTAACTTAGCTACTAGGAAAAAATCATGATTGAGTATAAAGAAAAAATGAAGGATGTATGGGGATATTATAGTCAATGTCGAGTTCTCATTTACAAAAATGAAGTTAGTTTTAAACACTTAAGAAATCCAAGTTGTTAAGGGTGTTGAAAAACTTGTATTCATACCTTAATAAAAAAGTTGGCACGATCTTTCACAAAGTGTTAAATATCAAAAGACATGGATACAAAGAGAAAATCATGGTCCTATAACCCCAAAATCATTTAACAATCCAAAATATGCAGAAACTGGTATGCATGTATAAACAGTTCCATCAGAGCAATATTTACAACAGCAAAAATTGGAAGCAACCTCAATGAAAAACTGTTGAGAAATGACTGAGAAATGACGCCACCATCAAGAAAAGTTGTGAATATGATAGAGCGATCTGAAAAAGTTATCAGGATATGATCAAAATTATATGTAAAGGGCTATAAAATTTAATAAATTTAAAAAATATAAATATATAATCAAACTAAAAATAAATTCAAATAAATACAAACATGACATAAATTAAAAACTAAAAGCAATGAAAAAAATTGTAACATTGGGATTCTTAGTTTTTCCTCTTTGTCTCTTTTTATAATGTTTCCCTATCGGTTAAAAAAACTTATTTAAAAAAAAAAAAATCCAAGTTGTTTGGGCTTCAAATATATCAATGTCCTTAGTATTCATATGATATGATTTTCTGGTTAAATACAAACACAGATATGTGTACATACAACCCATCTACTAACTAAACTGTGAGCAAGATAAAGCAATAGTCTACCAAATTTCTACTTCTCACTTCTACTTACTGGACTTAATTTCTCCCAAAAGAGGAGCTCCCTAACATAAAGGTTTTTTTTTTAATTGCCATTCCTCTACATTTAAAATTTCATATATTTTCTCTCAGTCACTTGATTCTAAGCAATAAATCCAAGCAGAGATAACTAGAATCCAAGTTACCCCCCAAAAAATTTAATAGAAATACTTGACATTTTCGCTTTATATTTGTTTTAAAATAAGCACATTAACATTTTAAAATAACCAGTCTATATTTTTAAAATACTATTACTGTCAAATACACATGCTACCTTAGATCACTCTATAAATCTCCAAGACATATAAAAGGAATGAATAGTTTATCTGCAAATTATTTATCATAATGGAACTACTCAGGATCTCAAACAGTTAAAGACATTCTGATCACTAAGACATTTCCTATCTATTTCTGTAAAAATAGAACTATTGTCATTGCTTACCGATACAATCGCAGTAACATTTGCTGGGTCTCCTATCCTTTCAATGACAAGACGAATAACTGTTGTACTTGTTTCATTAACTACAAATTCTGTTCGTCCAGCAAACCTGATCTCTGTTTCTCCAAACACAAAAGGGATGAATAAAGCTGAAAGAAGATTTACTAATAAAGATGAAGAGGGCATCCCTATAGGGAAAAAAAAAAGGACTTTGTTCACAAAACGTATCCAATATATTTTCATGAGGGTGCACTGTCTACAGATATAAACACAGAGTGAAGAGTTAGTAAGCAACTAAGACATAAAAATATATCAAATATTAAGCTATCCAATTCAAATATGTGGTCACAGAAATATGTCAAAAATGACAATCCTCTTCTGTGGTACTGTTTACCATCCGTAAGTACTTTGTTTTCTTTAACTTTGTCTAACTTTGTTTAACTTTAACTTTGTTCTTTGTTTCTTTAACTTGCATATTAACAATAATAACTTGCCTTACACTTATCAAATTTAGTTTATTAAAAATAAATGTTCCTCCAATTTATTCTAAGAAAAACCTAGGCAGCAACATGTGAACTGAATTAAAGCCCATCTTCCCCCAAATCAAACTGTAAAAGACAAGCAAAAAGTAAAATTATCAAAAGGACTGATAATCTTAATGTGACATTATCTATTTGACAATTATACAAGTATCAATATGAGCAAAACTCTTGGAACAGTCACACAAGGCAGTTAGTGAAAGCCAAAGTTTATTTCTTGGTTGTATCTGCTTCTCCCATAGTTTTGTCTTGAGAATGCTTTTCAAATTTTTCAGTTATTGCAAGAAAATGCTAATCCTTTGAAAGAACACCTAAGTTTCCAGGACTTGAATTTCTCCATTGTACTAACTAAAATACTAATATCACTTCTTAGAAAATGCCCATGCTTCTTTAAAACGAAGCAAGTTTGGCAAAGAGTTTACTTTCTTTTGCATAACCCTTATTGTTTTCTTCTTCGTACAATGTGTGTGTTTATGAGACGCCAATATTGTTCCTACTTTCAGCTCTGTGTGATTCAAGTGTTTTCAAAAAGCACAACTGCACAGGGGCCTCTTGAAAGAGCTGCTGTTTTGTGATGTAGATGTATCTCTAAAAATGTGAACAATTTATCTCACGGATCATTAAGATTCCAAAGGATTATGTGAGCAGTCACCCGAACATAACAAGTTCATGGCTTTTAAAAAAGAGTTGCATTGCGTACTCTATGAACCAAAATGCTTCCTATTAATCTTTACCTTGGTCAAGAAGTAATAAAATTTTCATGTAGCTGCTATTTCCACATGGCTACACAAGGCTTCATATTTAGGAACCACCAGATACACATGTTCTTAACGTACTTTAGGGTTAAAAGGCAAACTACTCAGTGGAATATATTCAAACAAGGCAGTCTGGGATTGACTAATGATGTCTCACATGTGTGAGGCTGCAAAATCCGTAGACAGGGATGCAGAGTTCAGATAAGAGTCCAGGAAAGAGATGCAGACCAACAGGGACAGATATTCCAGACATTTTTTACACGTGTGCCTTCTCTCTTAGAAAGCCTGCCATGGGGCTAAGGGACTCAGGAGAAGAAATAAGATAGCAGATAGTTCCTCCTCACCAACCGCAACCTCTTCCCTGACTTCTAAGCCAGGAGTGTGCGTTGAGAGAAAAGAAAGAAAAAAAGATGAAAGAGAAGGAAAATAGGAAAGCCTAGGTGAGCCAGGGACCTGGGAGTGCTGGGCTTAACCAGAGACAAATGAAGATCTTTTGTGGAATTCTAAAGCCAGAATAATTTTACATCTCACTTATGACAAATAGTGGGAAAGAAAGCAACTAGGGACAAGAAAGAGAATGCTGAGTGGAGGGGTGTGGAGGTAGCAACCCAGGCCCTGGACGTGGAAGAAAAAGACAACTTTGGTCTGTTGTGATTTTGAAAGAAAACTCAATTCCTTGAATGTGAGATGTGATAGAACCTTGAGCTTAGAGAAATAAGATGACACCTGAAGTTCTAAGTGAGAAAGAGTGAGACTGAGTCACAGCATGCTGCTGCTGCTAAGTTGCTTCAATCGTGTCCGACTCTGTGCGACCCCATAGACGGCAGCCCACCAGGCTCCCCCGTCCCTGGGGCTCTCCAGGCAAGAACACTGGAGTGGGTTGCCATTTCCTTCTCCAATGCATGCAAGTGAAAAGTGAAAGTGAAGTCGCTCAGTTGTGTCCGACTCTTAGTGACCCCGTGGACTACAGCCCACCAGGCTCCTCCGTCCATGGGATTTTCCAGGCAAGAGTACTGGAGTGGGGCGCCACTGCCTTCTCCGAGGCATAGCATGAGAAGGATGAATCACTTGTGGGAACACAAGTCTCAGTCTGTCACATGTAACAATCGACTCCTAGCTGTGTGAAAAATACTGATTTGCAAACCCAGAAATTCTGATCCACTTAGTTCAGGGTAGGGTTCAGGAGTCTGCAATTAACAGTCCGCCAACTGATTCCAATATAGTTGATCCTTAGAACACACCTGGAAATACACTATCCAAAAGCATGAGGAAGTGTGAGGGATGTGTCTTAAAGGAGACACAAAATAAACCACATTTGGAGCTTTAATTACTGAATTTTTCAATGCAACGCACTTGAACTTACTGCAGACCTTCCATATTTTTTTACATATTATTAAACAGAGTTTTTAAGATTTTTTTTTTTAATGTAGACCATTTTTAAACTCTTTATTGAATCTGTTACAACATGGCTTCTGTTTTATGCTTTGGTTTTTTTGGCTGCGAGGCACATGGGATCTGAGCTCCACAACCAGGAATTGAACCTGCACTCCTTTCACTGGAAGATAAAGTCTTAACCACTAGACTGCAAGGGAAGCCTGTGATATAGCATTTTAAGATTCCATATATCCTGAAGAAAAAGTTTAAGACCTATAGAAAGTAATCACAACAGCAAATGCTTATATAGTGTTGTTCTAGGTACTTTATACACAAAAACACATTTAATCTTTACAACATCTCTTGAAGGTATCAGTATTATTAACCCCATTTCATAGCTCAGGGAACTAAGGCACAGATATTAGTTAACACATGCAGTGTCCCTTATTAGCTAAGTAAGTGGCTGGCAAGATTTGAACCCAGGAGTTCATCTCCAGACTCCCTACCCATAACCACATGAGATTGTCCACTACATGTTATTCCTACAAACCATACATCTCTGTCTTGAATAATATGGTAGGTCATTTATGCTACATATTTCCAAGCATTCTACTATTTTAAACTCATGAACAATAACCAAAACCACCATCAGTTCAATTCAGTTGCTTAGTCATGTCCAACTGCGACCCCATGGACTGCAGCACACCAGGCTTCCCTGTCCATCACCAACTCCCAGAGCTTACTCAAACTCATGTCCTTCGAGTCGGTGATGCCACCCAGCCATCTCATCCTCTGTCATCCCCTTCTCCTCCTGCCTTCACTCTTTCCCAGCATCAGGGTCTTTTCTGATGAGTTGGCTTTTCGCATCAGGTGGCCAAAGTATTGGAGCTTCAGCTTCAGCATCAGTCCTTCCAATGAATATTTAGGACTGATTTTCATAAAACTGTATAATTATGAGTCTTCTAAAAGTTTGCACCTTATTATTCTGATAAACTGAAACTATTAAACATTTATTTACCTGAAACTATGATTCTCTTGACTATTTAAAATATTTAACAACATCTTTTAATGCCAGGGCCGATGAACTCAAATGATGCATTCTTCCAGTCTCCCAGGCAATTAGATGCTGTAGTTAGGTCAGTAGATTCATTTCGGATTGGTGCACATCAGTGAGTTTTGAGAGATTATGCAAAATGAACAAACAAGCATGATTGGAAATGCCTCAAATTCTGTGACATCACTGATAATTGAATCGCCTCTGCTTTCATCTTTTCAACTTGTAAGAAAAGTTTTTGAGGCAAAGCTGGCATCGAATGGAAGTTAGATGATGTAGAAAAAGCTTTGAAAGTGAAGTTCCCATCAGAAGGCAGGCATAATTACACAAGTGCTGAATAGTTTCTTTTTTAGGGTAACTAGGTACATTTTCCTCTATCATACTAAAAATCTAGTCTTGGAATTCCCTTTATTAAACTCAGCAGACTAGGCATTAGTGACTGACACAACACACAAGTCTTACATCTATTTCAGCTCACTTTTCCTCTTATTAGATTAAATGAATATTTTACACAACCCACCAGTCCACCTATTTTAAATATCTCTATAAAATGAATTTCAAACAACATACATTTAAAGATCATTATGTGCTTATTTCATATTCTGTCACAATTGTGAAAGAGTAATTTTAGTTTTACTGACTCATTCCTCTGAACTGTAATGGCGTGATATTCCAAAATTCAAATCTTCTCATTTCCAATTATCATCTATGTTACCCTCACGACTCCCACTACTCCTCAGCATGATTCAAAAAAAGAAAATTTTTCCTGCCAGTGGGTGATCTCTTATCTCTTAATCAATCTCTTACTGTGTTTAAAGTGTTTACTCATATTTAGGTTACTTTCTTACTTATTTCCCAAATTACACTATGAAGTTTGGGTAGAGTCCAGATAATATGCAGATACAAAGTTTCAGGTTCTTGGATTTTAGTAATTACATTCAGCCTCTCCGGGTGTGGCTTCCTTGACAGCTCTGTTGGTAAAGAATCTGCTTGTAACACAGGAGACCTCGGTTCAATTCCTGGGTCGGGACGATTCACTGGAGAAGGGATAGGCTACCCACTCCTGAATTCTGGCCTGGAGAATTCCATGGACTCTCTGGTCCATGGGATTGCAAAGAGTCAGACATGACTGGGCGACTTGCACTTTCACTTTTCATTCAGCCTATCCAGCAAGTCACCTAATTCTAACCAACATCGTTCAAAATTAAAATCAGGGATATATTAGAATAGCTCTAACAATGCAAACTGGTTGCTTTCAGAAGAGCGGGTTACAGTTTCACCTAACATCCGTCCACTGAGCACCTACCATACTATACGTTGTATAACAACTGCGCTAATCACTGAGGACATAAAGGCCCTCAAGAGACGGCCCCTGGCTCCTGATACTACTCACAGGGCTGGGCACGGACTTAGATCAGGCCAGTGAGCGTTAACAAGACAATTCTGACGAAATTTCGCCATTTG